TATTCAGACTTTCTCTAAAACATTTTAAATTTAATAGTATCGTGTTAAAAATACAGCAAACCTTCATACTTTAAAATATATATATATATATATATATATATATATATATATATATATATATATATAATCTGTAAAATAAATATATAACAATTTTTGTTATTAATTTTTATTAATTAATTAGAGTAAAGTTTAAATACAATAATAATTATTAATACAACAAAGTTTATGCATATTTATGTTACCAAGTTTATAAAATTTTCATAAAATCCATAATATAAAATAATCATGATATAGCAACTATTTATATATTTCTTTAACAAAAATTAAAAAGATATTAGATTCTCAAACAGCATTTTCATTATAATGAACATGCTGTTTGAGAATCTTAATTTTGTATCTAATATCTTAATTTTTGTGATTTGTGACGTGATTTAAATGCGCTAGTGACGTGATTTGAATGCGCTATTGGAAGGCATTATGAATTGCGGGAAAATAAATATTGGATAAATATTGGAAAGCATTATGAATTGCGGGAAAATAACTCAATTTACTCAGAAAGTCACGCAATTCAATGTACACTCTGATTGCGAGAAAAATTTTAATTCAACTAGATTTTTTTGGTAATAATTTAATTTTAACGTAAGGGACAGATTGTCCCGGGCGGCAGATTTCCAAGGGGCACCAAATAGAATGAAGGTACCTTGAAACAAAGGTCCTTCACCAATAATATAGGAGAATTTCGATAATTAAGAACGCCAATCATGCTGCTGTCCCGGGCGGCGAAACAGTTCTTGGCGGCATTATATATATATATATATATATATATATATATATATATATATATATATATATATATATATATATATATATATATATATATATATATATATATATATATATATATATATATATATATATATATATATATATATATATATATATATATATATATATATATATATATATAGTTATTTGTTATTGTTTAATTTTTTTACAACACTTTTATTTATATACATTCAATAAAAATAGTTTTTAATTATTTTTTAATTATAATATATTTTTATTTATTTCCATACTTATAATGTTGTGTAGCGCAGGTGGTAAGGCACTAATGGTCTAGTGATCCGGGTTTCGAAACCCACCACCGATAAGTTTTTCATTTTTCAAAATAAATTTAAAAAATTGAAAATCTTACAAATCCTTTAAGATACCCTACAGGATAATCACAAGATTTCTTATGATCTTATAGGATTTGCAAGACAAATAAAATCTTACGAACCCTTTAAGATACCCTATGGGTAATCACAGGATTTCTTATGGTCCTATAGGATTTGAAAGACAAATAAAATCTTACAAATTCTGTAAGATATCCTGTAGGATAGTATAAGATTATATACGATCCTATAAGACTCATAAGTTGTCTGTAAGATAGTCGACTAGTGTGTAAACGGAAGTCTTAGCAATTATCAAACATAATTATAAACACCAAAAAATATATATAAACTTAAAAAATCAACATCATTTACAGTGAATCACTTCAATGATAAATGAGTATATAATAATAAATTTAAAGAAGCGAGATTAAGATGACATAAAAATTCAAAAACCTGTACCCATTAATTTTTTGTAGAAGAAATTGTTCCACCAAAACTGTCAGCATTCCACTAAGTGAGTGATCTTTATACTTACTTAGATACCCATATTTAAAGTCACGATTTATTCATTCAACCCCATTGTTTGTATTGACAACAATTTCTCATATCCCAACTCTGTATGCTTTAATCCATTTCTATAAAGTTTAAGTTATTTCTGAAGTAAGAATTCAATTTAGTTTCTATAACTTTTAAGGGATGGAGCAATTTATAAAATCCTAAACAGCATGATTGATTTTGATACATATAGTTTCTGTATAGATTAGTACTAAAATACTTTGAAATAATTTAATAGAAATATTTCATTTTTGGCCAAGTACAAGAATAAAAAATACAGTAATACAAAAACTTAATTTACAAAATTTCTTGTTGCATCTTTGATTTTTAAGATAATAATAATTTGAAAGTAAAAATAAATATATAAACATTATTTCATGTATTGAAAGCCATGTTTTCTCTATCCACAGTCGTAATTTTTTACTGGATTCTGCTTTCCGAAATTGAGTATTTTTGAGTTCATCAACTGTGTTCTTGTACTCCTCAATTGATTCAGAATTAGCAATTTTTCTTAGACTTCATAATACTTGTTCCTTTACAGCTCGCATTCCATTTTCAGATCTATTCAGCCATCGATCCCATGCTTGTTCTCTATGGTTGTCGCATAGCAGAACCATGCTTTCTATTATATCCAACAAAGCATTAAATAAAACTGTAAGAAGATACTATAATTTTAAAACACTTCACAAATGTAGAGATTCTTTTAATGTATTATATCTTAAAATATTGTTAATAAGAAATAAAAACCTGGAAATATATTTTTAATAGAGGAAATTTCTTCTTCACAATTATCAACCATGAAAAAACGAGGTTTCGAAATTAAACTTTTCCAATTTTTTATTATACTCAGAGCTTCTGTAATAGCAATAACAGTCTCATCTTGGATAGCAAAAGAACCAACTACTTGGTAATCTGAATTTGTTTTAACAACCAAGAAAAGCAAAGGAATTGCATATTTTGTTGTTTTGGATGTTGCGTCTAGGAGACATAGGATTTCCATATCTGTTAAGAAGATTTTTTTATTCTACTGGTTGGTGCACAAATAATAATCTTTATTTTTGTGTTAAAGCTGAAGCCTTAAACAGAAGAAAATGAAGTTATACACAATCATTTTAAACTATAATTATAATTACAAATATGTTTAAAACTTGCTCAACTCATAAGAGAGCAAATCTCTTCTATGAGTTATGTGCTGGCCCAAGAACCAATTTAATTAATTCAAATGAAAGAAGTCGGTTCTTTATTTTAGATGTTATTTTTCATTAAAGAAAATATATTAGGAAAATGTATTATAGCACCATGGAATGCTTCTTTTTTTTTGCAAAAACATGTAAACTGCATAATTAAGGAACAGATTTTAAAATTTATAAAAAAGAAACCTCAATTACAAAATCGATGTCGCAAAACTCAATGTTTGAAAGATTTTTTTGAAAAACTTGCTTTTCTTCTTGTTCACCATAGCCGCGAAAAAAGAAATTATCATTTGGTGCTTGGCTTTCCCATTGTGAAACTTTTTCCAAAGTATTCTCTTAGTCAAATTTTGAAAATTTTAAGAGAGAATCAGCAAGATATATATGATTTCTAAGGTCCCTCTTTTTGGGATAAAATCTCCTAGATGTTGCTGGAGGTTAAGATTTGCCTCTAAACATATCATTTTTAACAAATATATTAATATGCCTTTGCATTTCTGTAATATTTCGAACTCTCTCACCAACTAGCTGATGAATTTTTAAAATTATGTTTTTATCAACTGGTTCTGATATTCCAGCATCCTAAAATAGAATGCGGAAATAAGGTAACTAATTTATTGCTATTAACATTTTATTTTTTTAAATGTGCTATTATATATACTAGCGCATATGTTACTATTAAACAACCTTTTCTTTTAAATTGTTTAAATCTTTATTTGAGTATGCAAGTACTTAAATAAAGATTTAAGTAAGATAAGTAAGTTTAAATCTTTATTTAGTGGCTGCCAAGGGTACCGTGTCAAACAGGCTTGAAAGCGCACTAGTTCAGTATTATTAAATAGATTTACCTCTCCTATCAAATGACCTCGGTGTGAATTATAATCTCGATATTTGATGTAAATATATCTTGTGTATGGAATAGCACTTTTTCTCTCAATCCATTCAGCTTTTAATTTTCTTGTATTGGTTCTTTTTTTGTGTTCTGTGTTTGCATCTGCCTTAAAAAGAAAGAATAAGATATTTTACAAAAGACAATTTTTCATTATATTTTTTATTTTTTTATTATATCTTATATATTTTACTATATATATTTTACTTCTTTATCTTAGTTATATATATATATATATATATATATATATATATATATATATATATATATATATATATATATATATATATATATATATATATACATATGATATATATATATATTATATATAATATATATATGTGTGTGTGTGTTAAACTTTATAATGAGGAAAGAATACTACATCTCGCCTAATTTTTGCACCACATCCCATTTTCTTAGAATCTTGTGATAGAAATTTGTTTTTTTTAAAAATCCGATATCCTTCTGTGGTTGACTAAAAAAAAAATTTTTTTAAAGCAATATCAAATAACAACGTATACTAATATTTTTAAATTACTTTTTGATATGTTAAAAACTTTTAAATTACTTTTTGATATATTTAAATTTTAAAATTTCAATATCTCAAAAAGTTTGTAATTTGCTAAAAAGTAAAATAGTATTATCTAAAGACATGACAAACTACGATAAACAGAATTACTTTTATTCTTATTTATTTTTAGTTAAATGATTTTATAAACTTTACTTCTCACAGTAAATCAGGTAAAAAAAATAAGTTTTTATATAACTTTTTTTATAAATAAAATAGTAGACAAATGGAACCGTTTACCACAAGATGTTGTGGATGCAAAAAACTTAAATACATTAAAAACCCTTTGTGACTGTTATATGAAAAACTGCAAAAAGCTGTTACAGTCTGACATCTGTTGTTAGACTCTATACATTGTAATATGTATCACATCTTGTTTCTTTATTTTATTTATTTATTGTAACTTTAAGTAAATAAATTACCAAATATATTAAAAAAATAATAATAATAACTTTGATTTTTAAATAATTTATCATTTAAATAAATAACTTATTATTTAAATAAGACTAAAACACCTAAAACACAAAAACGAAAAATAATTTTCCGAAAAAAACAACAACAAGAAAAAACATTATATTTTTAAATTATTAAATATAAATAAACATTTATATTTAATAATTAAGTTTAAATACAAATTATATTACCTTCATTTGCATTTTTCATTTTTTTGCTTTTTTTTTCGTGAGATGGTTTGGTCTCTACCATGAATGCATTCTAAATGTTTAACCCCTAATATTAAAAATAGATAACCGTTAAATAGAATCTGTTGTTCAAGGTTCGGTTCAACTTTTTTGTCTTCAAACAATATTTTATGTTTTGTCAATTCAAACTCTAAAAACTTAAGAGTAAATTAAAGCCCCTCACCTAAAAATTATTTGTTTAATTTTAGTTTCAAACTATAATAAACAAACTTTTTAACTAAACTATAAACAAAGTTAATATGCTTTTAACAAATGTCACTAATAAAGTTATTATGCTAATATTAGCATAATATATTACTATAATATATTATAATATATAATAGTAAGTAACATAGTGTATATACCTTTGGTCCAAAATTCTTTATCGACCTAAAACTAAAAACTTTAGATTTAATTATTATAAATACCATTTTTACTTGAATTATTAATTAAGTAACCAATTTAATTAATTATAAAACAACTTCCAACTACAGTTGGAAGTAACATCAGGTTCTGTCAACTTACCTTATAGAACCTGATACTGATTTGAGTTAAGTATCTTTGTAGCCATTCAGCAACAACAAAAAATATTCAGATATCTGACTGGTTAACAGTTTTTATTACTAATGAAAACTGTAAATAAATCACATCCTAATAATATTCGGATGTGATTTACCAAAAAAATTATAACCTACTACCAGTGCCGGATCAAGGGGGGGCTAGGGGGACTATAGCCCCGGGCCCCGCAAATTTAGGGGCCCCCAAAAATTTTAGAGGACCTATTTTTTTTTTTAAGTCATTTTTAGGCTCTGACCTATAAAAAGGCCTCTAAAAACAAAAACAGCCCCAGGCCCCAAGAAGTTTTAATCCACCACTGCTTACTACTAGTGACAATAATTTTTAAACTTTTTGTGAAAAATACTATGTATGAAAATTTTTTTTTGAATAAATGAAATTTAATCTGTCATTTTCTCAAACGCGATAGTTAAACTATTTCTATTTACTTATCTGATCTCTTTCTATTTTATTTGGTTCAACGGTCATTTTTAAAATTTTTGAAGTTATTTTCATAATCTGCGACAATCTTTAAAACAGCGAATTCTCATTCGGGTCATTAATTTCCTTAAAAATCCAAACGTTGGGATAGGTTTTTGATTCTATTGTCTTCCTTAAAAGTTTTAGACTTGCGTCCTTTTGGAAATGACAGGTTCAATTGTGTTTGTCAAATACGCGCATTACAAAAACTGTATGTGCTGTTCGTACAGTTGCGTCGGCTAAATTATTTAAGGTGGCTCATATAGAAAAAACAGTTTTTTTAATAAAAGAAATTGCAACGGTTCATGAATATTTTATTGTACTTTTGATGATATATGAAGCTTAAATTTCATTAAAAAAAGTTTTTAATGAATTATATTTAAAGCAAATTTCAACAAAACCAGAGGTAATTTAACAAAACCAGAGGTAAATTTAACATAATTCAAAACAATGTTTCTTGATTAATTTTGATGTAAACTCAATAATTGTTTGTTTGTAGCTTCATTACATTATTATCATTCATTTCTACTAAAAGAATAAAAAAAATAATTAAAATATCAAAAACGGGACTCAATAGTTAAAAAATCACAAATTTATTCATAAAAAAAAACATATGTTGTGTTATAAAAAGTGATAAAACTCTTCTTAGTTAATTATTTTATTACATCTAAAATTTTGATGATTAAGAAACATACAGTGAAAATTTCAGCCAAAAAGCTTTCCTTAATCTCGAGATAACATATTTTGAAGTTGCAAAAAAAGAATAAAATTAAAAAGTTGAGAAAACAACCACCAAAGTTTTCCGATAAATAGAATTTATTAGCAAAACAATAAAACTGAACAATAAAAAAGTTAAAGTAAGGTGATAGTAATAAAAATTTTATGCAAAATGTACATATTTTCGGAAAGTATGATAAATTTTGCATCGAATGGTATATTTAAAAAAAATTTGAATTTTTTTTTTTTAATTGAGTATTTTTTTCTATATGAGCCACCTATATGTTACCTTCTACCACATAACAAAACTTAACGTTCATGCACTGGAGGAGCATTGGCCCAATCCAAATAATTAGCCAATGTTGTTTCATACATTGGGCCAATTACTTCTTGCTTGCTGGGTACAGGCTTGATATATATCAAGGACATTTTATTTGATGGACGTTTAACTACGGAAGTATTATAAATGGAAGTGTAACTCTTGAAAAAATTAAAGGTTCCAAAACCGTCCCAAATCATAGTCATAAGAATATATTTTATGACTACCTAGTGGGCACAAGTACGTTTTGCAAACGTTTGTAAACGCTCTATGGGACGTTTGTATAGATGAAACGTTTAAAAAACGTTTAAAAAACGTTTTAATAGGTTTTTTTCTATCATTTAATTTAGCATTTTACGGGACCTTTTTCCAAGCCAAAAACGGCGCAATGCGCATGTGCAACTTTACTAAAATATGGCGTATTTTCAAGTTTATCTATGAATTTATACGACTAAAAAAAAATTTCAAAGTAAAATATACATTCATCAGTTCTATGATAACTCTTACTAAGATATACGGTCTTTTATAAATACTGTAAATATATATATATATATATATATATATATATATATATATATATATATATATATATATATATATATATATATATATATATATATATATGTATATATATATATATATATATATATATATAAATATATATATATATATATATATATATATATATATATATATATATCTATATATATCTATATATATGTATATATATATATATATATATATATATATATATATATATATATATATATATATATATATATATATATATATATATAGGCAATCATCAGGAGTAAATATGTTTTTTTTTCTCGTAAAAATAATAAATCTGTACAAAAAAAAATGAGTTGAAAAATCTAATCTTTTGGTTTGTGGTTGTCCAGCAAAAACTTGTTCTCATGGCGACATTTAGATATTAGTTCGTTTTTTTTCTTTAAAAATTCTTGAGGATTTTTATACAATAAAATAATTAGTTTTTCGTATAAGCATAACAAGCATTTTTTGGTTATGTTGTTGTACGCGGGGGCATATTTTATGATGGACCATTTTAAATTGGGTGTTGTTTTTGTTTTATTTTGTGTATCCCATATATATTTAGAAAGCGTGGTTGCATTTGTGAGTTTTTTATTTTTGAAGGATTGCTTGTGATTCGCTCATCTAGTTTTCCACATGCCCTCTGTTGAACCAATGTAAGTTTTGTCGGATGTGTTTGGTAATGATGCAATGCACTTATAAATTACATTTGTTTTTCTGCAATTTCCATTCATAGGGCAGATTTTGCTTAGTTTACAATTGCAAGCTAAAGTGGCCGTTGGGTTCATCGAAATAATTTTATTGTTGTGGTTCTTTATAACTTTTGCTATGTTGCTTGACTTTTGTTGTGTTACGGTCAAATAGTTTATGAAGCGGATTTGGTTTTGGAAAGTGTTTGTCGATTAATTGTAAGAAGGTTTTGCCTATATTTTTGAGAACGTTTTTATTGTATGGTGGGTTAAAACAGGTTATATTTCTTTTTCTTTTACGATTGGGGGTTACTTTGGTATCAATTTTAGGGTTGTGTTTGAAGCTAAAATCTTTGAACCCATTTCTTTTTAGGGCTTCGTCATATTCTTCCCTTGCTGAGTTGAATATTTTTTCGTCAGAAGAATTCTGGTATAACCTATCGTTGATAGCAATCGGAATTTGTTTAATAATTTGTGGGGGGTGGTTGGAGTGTGGATGTAAAGTATGTTGCTATTTGATTTTTTGAAAGGATGGTATGAGTCTTTTTCAAGGTTAAATATAACGTCTAAGAAGTTAGCGATTGTTAGGTTTGTCGTAATTTCTATTTGGAAGCCGATTTTTTTAAAAACTTTTATAATATTTTTTCGGATTCTATTTATCTGTGCGGCAGATTTTTGATGCATTATTATCAATCCGTCGTCCCGGTAAAGGCCCATATCGCTGCTGGTAACAGTTTCTGATAATGAATACAATATATACAGACCAACCAGCTCGCAAACCTTGGTAACCATCGTAAATCCATCGTAACAACCCATTGTGTCATGTAGTCATGTGATAAACGTTTATTAGGACGACCTGCATGCATCATATATATATATATATATATATATATATATATATATATATATATATATATATATATATATATATATATATATATATATATATATATATATATATATATATATATATATATATATATATATATATATATATAATATATATATATATATATATATATATATATATATATATATATATATATATGATGCATGCAGGTCGTCCTAATAAACGTTTATCACATGACTACTCTATGGAAACCGCTGATGGCATGCGCCACACTATTGCAACTACAACTATTGAATGTGACCTTGGAGTTCTCATATCAAACGATCTGAAAGTCAGAGCACAAGTTGAAAAAGCAGCATCCACAGCCAATCGCATGTTAGGAAAGCTAAAAAAAGCTTTCCAGAGTAGAAATTTAACCTTGTGGCGCACACTCTATATGTCTTATGTCCGGCCACATCTAGAATTCGCCATTCAAGCCTGGTCACCGTATCTCGAAACAGACAATAAGTTACTTGAGGATGTTCAAGACCGCGTCGCTAGACAATATCATCTATCATCAATTTTGATAAAATAAAGCGTCTGCAGGTACTCAAACTAACCACCCTCGAAGAACGTCGTTTACGTAGTGATATAATCGAACAATTCGTGTCTAAACATAATTATTATGTATTATGATAATACTATAATATGCGTTATATTTCTTAATTTTATTATGAGAGGAGATTTATTAGGATAGTATTCTAAGATGCTACTCTAAGAGATTTATTAGAATAATATTCTTTTTTTAGGTTTCTTCTTGTTGTCCCTGGCCACTAGCATTATGTTTTGTTGCATGTTATCAGACTTGTATGGTCACTACTTTTGAAGCCTTTCTGACTGAACAATACCCAGCTGTTTGTCATCAATGCCATTTATATCATGTGATGTAACACTGACTGCTATCACTTTAAAAAAAAAGTTAGTTAAAGTCTTCTTCAATCTGTTTCACTCGTAAGATATTTATTTATATTATTATATATATTTTCCATTAAAATAAATACAGAATATCTTACCTTTAAGATTTATATATATTATTATATATATTTTCCATTAAAATAAATACAGAATATCTTACCTTTAAGAGTATTTATAATTTTTTGTCTGATGTTGTCTTTAAGTATCCCAATCTTCAATTGTAGATTGCAGCTACTAATGTTTGTAGGCGAATACCTATACTATATCAAGCAGAAACCAAAGCAGTACAACCAGCACTTATTTTTTCAGCACTTATGTTTATCATTATCTTATCCATCCTCCTAAACCAAATATGTTTATTCTTATCCAAATATTTTCCATCCTCCTAAACCAAATATGTTTGTTCTCTACTGATTTCTAGAATGATTGCTTCTGTAATATACATGTTTCTTTACTATTATACATGTTTCTTTAATTTCTGGTCAAGGTAGAACTTATTATTCTCCACTTTGACATTCTGTTCAAAAAACAAAAGTGTTCTCCATAAGTTTCTTTAATTTTTACTAAACTGTTTAATGAGTGCTTGACTGAATCTAAATCTTGACACCTGTCCCCTCTAACTGCTATCTAGTCAGTCTTCTCTCTATTATAAGCAAAGTCTTTGATAATTGATCAACAAATTTCTAACATTTCAACTTGAGTCTAATATTTTACTCCCTGACAATCATTATGGTTTTTGAACTTGTTTTAAGGTTGACTTGCTAACTGTAATGGCATGCTGGTCTTCTCCATAAGCTTGCTTTATGTGACGTATCTGAGAAAGTTTTTGAGGTTATCAAATCATTTCTTTCTAATTGTTTTATTAATGTCATCCTCGAAGGCTAACACTCTTCTTCGTTTCCAGTACCTTCTGAAGTACCTAAAATGGTTATACTTGGTCCTGTGTTATTTTTTATCTACATTAATGATCTTCCTGACAATCTTACATCTAAAGTGGCTCTATTTGTTGATAAATAAACTTTATACTCCTGTCTAAATAAAAAAAATTATCTCACTTTTGTAACAGCTTGGGGCTTGTAGTGCCTTTTGAATTTTAACTTCAACAAAACTCAGTTGCTTACTTCAACCTAACTCCAATTGTGGTTGCATCTCCTATTTTCTACAAATGGTTGCTGCTCAAAGGAGCTATTATCTCTAGTTCCATTAACCAAAACTCATTCTCGATTGAATTGTCATTCAGCAAAGTCGCAAAGTCTCATTTTACTGTATCTGTTCCTGCATGCTCTAAAAATTATATAAACTATTTGTTTATTTTTTTTCTTCGGACTGTATTTATCACAGTCTAATTATTTAAAAAATTGATTATATATTCTGTATTTTATTGAAGTATATGTTTTATTAAGATTTAGTACGAATCAGCAGTGAACTTATACAGAAATTATCAAACAAGTTGGAAGACTAAAAACTTTGATACACTCAAAAAGTCACTTTTCAAGTTTAATTATTTCCTTTCGAAATTGAATATACAATCAATACCAAATTAGAGTCACAAAGTAAATTTAACTTTCTTAAAGCAATATTTTAAATAAAAAAAATTTAGAAGAAAACTTGTGATTGTTGTGTTGTTTCTTCTTCCTATAAATTAACCTTATTATTTAGCAACTAAATTTTCTTTTTAATTTATAATGTATTTTAAAAGAAAAATTTGAAAGAAAAAATGTTGTATTTTATAATATTAAAAAAAAAGAACAGGCTAAAACTTTTCTATATTATCTAACTCGTTTTTTTATTATTATTTTGCTTGCATCGCTTGTTATGAATTAGGAAGTATTAATCAAGGAAGAAGAGTATATAATACATTTTGTAACATCAAAAGTATACTTTTTGAAATATTAAGTGAAATTGAGCTTCATATATATAAAGACTGTTCTCCTCTCATTTCGGTTTTATAAACTTATTGCTCAGGATAACTAATTAGACGCTGATATAAAAGGAATTAATGAGAATAAAATCAGCATGCAAAAACTTTTTGTTTTATCTTTTTTTTATTATTGTAAATGCTTACTCGACAGTTTCATTAGGCTTTTTTAAAATCATTTTCGTAAATTGACTTTTAGCTTGTAATCTTAATCTGCCTAATCGAAGGCGTCAAAAAAATTAGACACCTTTTTTTTTGAGTAACTCAAACTATTGACCTGAGCAACATTCAAAGCAACTGTGCAACATAGTAACTTTTAATTTTGTTAAAAAGCAAAGAAATTATTGGTTAAAATGAAGTATTGGTTCATTAAATATGAATACCTGCAGCACTTAAAGTAGGGCCATTTTTACAAGAGTATTTTTGTATATGCCATTGCTTTCATTCAGGGCCGTCTCGAAGGGGGGGGGGGAGATAGGGGTGTAATGCCCTCTTAAACCTGTCATTTAAGCATTTGAGTTGACACATTAAGCAAGTGCTGTTGGCAAATTGCAAATACTGAGGACCTTTTTTTTTCTTTTAGGTGTCTTTTTAGCAAAAAAAATACATACGACACCTCTCCCCACCTATTCCTATGGAAAAACTCAATGGGACGGCACTGCTCAGAATTACTATATTTACATAAAATTAAAATAAAACATTGGTTCATTAAGTATGAAGCAGTTTCCACGGCTGCTTTAATTCTTTGTTTTAATGAAAATCGTTTTCAACACATGAATTTTTTTTTTGTGAGAATAGCCATAAGTTAGTTAACTTATGGCTATTCTTACACTAAACAACGTCTACCCTATTTGCCGAACCAAAACTGGTATATATGATAGATGTTGCAACAATTTATACTTTAATTCACTGATTTTCGCGATGGTTTTGTGACCTACGTAAGGTGCGTTTTCTTGATTAAAAGTTATTTTTTTCTTTTCTAAACCTGGTCATTTCTTACTATTGTCCAAAACTGGTCCAAAAGGTTACAACAGGTTAATGATTGTAGACCCTAGTTTTAGCCATAGTTATGAAACGACGCACAAAATTATTTTTATTCTTTCTAAATCGCTAATTGTTGCTAAGAAAGTTGTAACTGAATTTGTTTTTGTTTCATTGTTAGCAAATGTCACGTACATTGTGCACACAACTTATTGAAACCCAAAACTTCATTCAAAATTTTGTTTACACATCCTTAAGGAGATGTCTAGAGCTTCTACTAAATCTCTCTCAATTTATTGACAATCTTCCTAAGATATACGTTATTTTTTTGATACGATTTCTGGTTGTAATGCACTTTTTGTACGTCCTTGACGTGGATCATCTTAAAAACTTGTACAACCACGTTAAGCTTTTCATCTTTCTACTATTCTAATTAAGCGTGAAGAATCCTTATACACTTTAATAATCTTTAATGAAATTGTTTTGGTGCTACGCATTCACTAAATAAGAATCCTTTAACTGCACAATATTCAATTTTGTAGATGTTGCGGAACTAGAATGAGGATGTACTCACTAAGAGCAAAAAACTTTTGATATATTGAATACTTAGTCGTTTACCGATTTTTATTTTTTAATCTTAAACCAATAATTTCTTTGCTTAACAAAATTAAAAGTTACTATGTTGCACAGTTGCTTTGAATGTTGCTCAGGTCAATAGTTTGAGTTACTCAAAAAAAAAGGTGCCTAATTTTTTTGGCGCCTTCGATTAGGCAGATTAAGATTACAAGCTAAAAGTCAATTTACGAAAATGATTTTAAAAAAGCCTAATGAAACTGTCGAGTAAGCATTTACAATAATAAAAAAAAGATAAAACAAAAAGTTTTTGCATGCTGATTTTATTCTCATTAATTCCTTTTATATCAGCGTCTAATTAGTTATCCTGAGCAATAAGTTTATAAAACCGAAATGAGAGGAGAACAGTCTTTATATATATGAAGCTCAATTTCACTTAATATTTCAAAAAGTATACTTTTGATGTTACAAAATGTATTATATACTCTTCTTCCTTGATTAATACTTCCTAATTCATAACAAGCGATGCAAGCAAAATAATAATAAAAAAACGAGTTAGATAATATAGAAAAGTTTTAGCCTGTTCTTTTTTTTTAATATTATAAAATACAACATTTTTTCTTTCAAATTTTTCTTTTAAAATACATTATAAATTAAAAAGAAAATTTAGTTGCTAAATAATAAGGTTAATTTATAGGAAGAAGAAACAACACAACAATCACAAGTTTTCTTCTAAATTTTTTTTATTTAAAATATTGCTTTAAGAAAGTTAAATTTACTTTGTGACTCTAATTTGGTATTGATTGTATATTCAATTTCGAAAGGAAATAATTAAACTTGAAAAGTGACTTTTTGAGTGTATCAAAGTTTTTAGTCTTCCAACTTGTTTGATAATTTCTGTATAAGTTCACTGCTGATTCGTACTAAATCTTAATAAAACATATACTTCAATAAAATACAGAATATATAATCAATTTTTTAAATAATTAGACTGTGATAAATACAGTCCGAAGAAAAAAAATAAACAAATAGTTTATATAATTTTTAGAGCATGCAGGAACAGATACAGTAAAATGAGACTTTGCGACTTTGCTGAATGACAATTCAATCGAGAATGAGTTTTGGTTAATGGAACTAGAGATAATAGCTCCTTTGAGCAGCAACCATTTGTAGAAAATAGGAGATGCAACCACAATTGGAGTTAGGTTGAAGTAAGCAACTGAGTTTTGTTGAAGTTAAAAATCAAAAGGCACTACAAGCCCCAAGCTGTTACAAAAGTGAGATAATTTTTTTTATTTAGACAGGAGTATAAAGTTTATTTATCAACAAATAGAGCCACTTTAGATGTAAGATTGTCAGGAAGATCATTAATGTAGATAAAAAATAACACAGGACCAAGTATAACCATTTTAGGTACTTCAGAAGGTACTGGAAACGAAGAAGAGTGTTAGCCTTCGAGGATGACATTAATAAAACAATTAGAAAGAAATGATTTGATAACCTCAAAAACTTTCTCAGATACGTCACATAAAGCAAGCTTATGGAGAAGACCAGCATGCCATTACAGTTAGCAAGTCAACCTTAAAACAAGTTCAAAAACCATAATGATTGTCAGGGAGTAAAATATTAGACTCAAGTTGAAATGTTAGAAATTTGTTGATCAATTATCAAAGACTTTGCTTATAATAGAGAGAAGACTGACTAGATAGCAGTTAGAGGGGACAGGTGTCAAGATTTAGATTCAGTCAAGCACTCATTAAACAGTTTAGTAAAAATTAAAGAAATTTATGGAGAACACTTTTGTTTTTGAACAGAATGTCAAAGTGGAGAATAATAAGTTCTACCTTGACCAGAAATTAAAGAAACATGTATAATAGTAAAGAAACATGTATACTACAGAAGCAATCATTCTAGAAATCAGTAGAGAACAAACATATTTGGTTTAGGAGGATGGAAAATATTTGGATAAGAATAAACATATTTGGTTTAGGAGGATGGATAAGATAATGATAAACGTAAGTGCTGGAAAAATAAGTGCTGGTTGTACTGCTTTGGTTTCTGCTTGATATAGTATAGGTATTCGCCTACAAACATTAGTAGCTGCAATCTACAATTGAAGATTGGGATACTTAAAGACAACATCAGACAAAAAATTATAAATACTCTTAATGGTAAGATATTCTGTATTTATTTTAATGGAAAATATATATAATAATATATATAAATCTTAAAGGTAAGATATTCTGTATTTATTTTAATGGAAAATATATATAATAATATAAATAAATATCTTACGAGTGAAACAGATTGAAGAAGACTTTAACTAACTGTTTTTTTTAAAAAGTGATAGCAGTCAGTGTTACATCACATGATATAAATGGCATTGATGACAAACAGCTGGGTATTGTTCAGTCAGAAAGGCTTCAAAAGTAGTGACCATACAAGTCTGATAACATGCAACAAAACATAATGCTAGTGGCCAGGGACAACAAGAAGAAACCTAAAAAAAGAATATTATTCTAATAAATCTCTTAGAGTAGCATCTTAGAATACTATCCTAATAAATCTCCTCTCATAATAAAATAACGCATTAAGAAATATAACGCATATTATAGTATTATGTTTAGACACAAATCCCCTATGTATATTGTTTATAAATGCCATAGTCAAATTTGCTGCTTATTATATATTATATTATATAATATATAATAAGCAGCAAATTTAAGCTTATTATATATTATATATATTACACTCCCTTAGTGTAACTAAGAATTATACCACAAACTACCAATATGTTTAGAATGTGATACCCCCTATGTACTACCAGTATTATATATGTTATATATATATATATATATATATATATATATATATATATATATATATATATATATATATATATATATATATATATATATATATATATATATATATATATATATATATATATATATATATATATATAATATCACAATTCCAATGTATATTGTTTAAAAATTTCATAGTTAGTCTTATTTGCTGCATTGAATCTTAGATGTATATAAGAAATCTATTATCAACAAACAGTTTTATATAATTTAAAATATCACACCCCTTATGTATTTTGTTAATATATGTCATTAAATTTGTTGTATTTTCTGCTATGAACCTTAAAACATCACATCCAGCAAATTAATTAAGAAATATATCACTAACTATCACTGTATGTTTACAATATCAAATCCCCTATGTACTTTGTTTATAAATGTCATACTAATTAGTTGTACTTTTAGTTTAAAAACTTAGAATATGACATTTCCTTATTATAATTAGGAAATATATTACACACTATAAGAAACAAATATTTTGAATATCACATCCCCCATGTATATTGTTCATTAATGTTATAAAAATTATTTGTATTTGATGCTTAGAACCTTAGAATATCACATTGCCTTAAAGAAATTAAGAAATATATGGCATGCTACCAGTATTATATATATAGAATATCACATCACCCGTGTACTTTGTTAAAAAAAACATACTAGATAGATCTTAGAATGTTAGAATATCACATCCCCTTAATAAAATTTAGAAATATACTATCATATGTTAAGAATATAACATCGCCCATGTATTTTGTTTAAAAACAACAAACTATATAGAGCTTAGAATGTTAGAATATTACATCGCTTTAATAAAAATTAGAAATATATTATTATTTGTTTAGAATATCACATTACCCATGTAATTAGTTAAAAAACAACAATCTATATAGTGTTTAGAATGCTAGAATATCACATCACCTTAATAAAATTAAAATATACACTATTTGAAGTTTAGAATATTACATCACACATGTAATTTGTTAAAAAACAACATACTGGATAGTGCTTAGAATGTTAGAACATCACATCACCTTAATAAAACTAGAAAATACACTATTACATGTTTAGAATATTACATCACACATATATTTTGTTAAAAAACAACATACTGGATAGTGCTTAGATTGTTAGAATATTACATCACCTTTATAAAATTTAGAAATACACTATTACATGTTTAGAATATCACATCACCCATGTTTTTGTTAAAAAAACAACATACTAGATAGCGCTTAAAATGTTAGAATATCACATCGCCTTAATAAAATTAAAAGATACACTATTTCATGTTTAGAATATTACACCACCCATGTAATTTGTTAAAAAAACAACATATTAGATAGTGCTTAAAATGTTAGAATATCACATCACCTTTATAAAATTTAGAAATACATCTATATATGTTTAGAATATCATATCACCCGTATCCTTTGTTAAAAAACAATATCGTAGATAGTGCTTAGAATTTTAGAATATCACATCACCTTCAAAAAACTTAGAAATACACTATTATATGTTTAGAATATCACATCACCCATGTATATTGTTAAAAAACCAACATACTAGATATTGTTTGTTAAGGTTAGCGATTTTTAGCGGTTAGCGATTTTTAGCATGCACCAAAAGTAGGTTGTGAAAATTGTTTAAAGTGCGGACCTGGAAAATTATTTATACTTACGCGCAAACGGAAAACAATTCGAAAACAACAAAAACCTACTTTTGGTGCATGCTAAAAAATTTTACCAACTGTTTTGTTATTATTATGTTATTGTAAAACGTTAATAGTTAAATCAGTGTTATTATTTTATTAAATTGTTTTTTTAAAAAAAAAGCTTCTAGTATTGATTATTATAAATATGATTTTATTATTACTCACATATATATATATATATATATATATATATATATATATATATATATATATATATATATATATATATATATATATATATATATATATATATATAAATTAGTAAAAAATCATTTGACGCAAATTTCAAAAAAAAAAGGTGTGTGTACCGCTGTTTAAATGTAATATATAAATTAGTAAAAACTACTATTAGTAATAGTGGACCCTTGGAAACACCTAAAGCTTATGTATTCAATGTATGTCAGCACAAAAAAATCTATGAACTATCTCAGCCCTAAATTCTGACTCATAAGTAGGATGACTTTGAATATTTGGTACATTTTAAATCTTGTACCAAGTGTTTTATCACTACTCTACTACACCATCTGCTATGGTGCATAAGTCACATTCATGACTTGAATGTCTAGGTAACTGTAACAACATTTTTTCTTGTTTTGCAACAGCACACTTTCTGACAGTGAACAGAATGTAAGAATTTGTATATATATTTTTCGTTAACATAACATAAATTTTATATAATAAAATCAATACTACATTAGATGATAGATCTAAAAAGCTTGTTAAAGATGTGTTAGAAAGGAGAGGAGATTATTGTTTATTATTGATTATTGAGTATAATGAATTTTTTTTGTTTTCTTTATAGAAACTAATTTGCCCAAATATTTTATTATTAAATTTAGTATTTTTTCCAAATTGCAATCTCGTTTAAAAAGTAATCAATTAAACTTGCTATTTAAAAAAGACAGTTCAATACTATATTTCTAGAGAAAGCCATGTATTCACATGCTTTATAGATTCCAACAAAGCTTTTGATAGCGTTAATTATTGGAAACTGTTTTCTAAATTAATTGATCAGGGTATTGCCAAGAATCTTGTTTGTCTCCTTGCATCTTGGTACAAGAATCAAACTATGTTTGTTAAACGGCAGAAATTAAGCTCTGCTTTGCTTTAACATAAGCAATGGTGTACAGCAGGGTGAAATTTTTTCAGGGTGAAATAACTGTTTTAGAAGTGATGTTTTTACCATTTATGCTAAGCAAATTCGGATGAAGCTTTATTGGTTTCCTTTCTAAAAACAAAATAAAAAATTGTTTGAAAAAACGTCAACAACTTATTATTTGCAAGTCTTCAATAAAATAATGACCCACACAATAAAGAATCTTTGGTATATTATACTGCATTATAAACAATTATCTTTGCAAACTTATTTTATAGTTTTAAATTAATGATTATGATTTTGGTATTACATAATTAAGAAACATGAAAAACAAACATTTACAAAATCTAACTTCTTCTTTTTTATATTTCAAAATATTAATTTTTTTTTTTTTTTGCTATAAAACAATTATTATATAAAAAATACCTGGATATATATTAAATATAGCTTGACTAGTATCAAAAGACGCTTTCAAAAGTTAATAACAACTATTTCTGGACTTAAGCGCCATCAAAATATAAGTGCTGAGATGTACTACTTTATAAAAAGTCTCAACATTCAAGCTATAGTAAAGACCAATTTTTAACCTGGAGTAAAAAATGTTCAGTTTTAAAACATTAAATTCTGTGTTATTTTTTTTTTAATGTAGCCTCTCAATTTCTTTTAGAGTTCTTGTAAACCAGAAACATATAGTGATTAAAAGCAGTCTTTTTTGGAACATCTTTTCCCAAAAAGTACTCAAGTACTGCATTTGAAAAGTTTTTGTTTTGGTATAAATTTGTTAAAAATATTACTTTATTGTACATTCTTTGAAGCAATCATGACCAAAGCTGATCTTTTTTTTCAAATGCACTCTAAGGGATTCTTTCGCATTCACGATGAAAATAATTTTTGCAATTAAAACAATGAGCCGTTTGCCTTAAAAATTTGTACTTATTAATTGTTTCAATAAATTTAAATTAATGAACATGCAATTTAAAGTCATTGCTTTAATGTAAAATAAACAATGCTAACAAAAATATTTGCAGATACACTTAATACTAAAGATAATGTTTATGTTAAAATCTAAAATAATCTTTACAACTTATGATTTATTAAAATTAAATTTTAAATTTTAAAGTAATATACCTATTAAAGATTTGTTCATCTTCATTTGGTCAAAACATACAACACGAGCAATGCAGAGGGATACAAAAGTTCTTTGCTAAACATCTTTTAAACAGTGAGGGATTTTCAGTGACTGGAAATACATCTAACTGGTTTTTTTGTATACATCTTAAGAGACGATTTCTCATTTGCCCTTGTTCAAACATAATGGAGGTTGATGGTAAACTTTTATTTTCGAGTATTGTCCAAGCCCAGGCAATGACATACAATCCGCAATCCAAAAAATTAGTTTGTTGTTGAGCAGGTAATACTTTAACTAATATATACTTTTTGTTGCAATTTAAAAAAGAACATCTTTGCTTTTTCGTCTCGACAGATATAGAGCCATGGAAAAAGCTGTCAAAGATATAAATCTCACCTGGCTTACAATTGTATGTGTTCACACAAAGCCAGTGAAGATTCCTGTCATGAAGAACTTGAACAAAAAGAGTAGACTTATGTGTATTAAAAGCATTAATTTGACCCTTAATGGGATCCTGTAAACCAACATAAATTTCTAATTGAATCCACATCATTTGCTGGCTAAAATGAATAATTTTGTCATTAGGCATTTGATATTTTTCAATTTCAAATAGTTCAGCTTCACCAAACAAGGAAGATTTGAGACTTTGAATACATTAACTTAATAAAATAGACTCTAGAAGTATAATATAAAATATAAAAGTAATAGAGAAGATCAATATTAATATTAACTTTTTAGTTATCTACATTTTTACTTTACATTACTTCCATACTTATTGGTAATACATTTCTCCAGAAAACAGGCACCCGTTAACTACTGCTAGAAACCATTGTAAATAGATTTTGTCTAATACGGAAGCCCCCTATTCTCAGGCCATGAAATTTCTTATTTCATCTAAAAAATTAGGCTCTTGTGACTTCTGGTGAATATTCAACAGCAGCATGGAAAATAAGAAATTGAACTTAAGCAGTCAATTTGGTCAAAATTATTATTTTTTTTTTTGTTTAATGATCTTAATTTTATATAAACAAAACTAACGAATAATGCTTGAAAATTAACAAATTTGTATGACTTAAAAGATATAAATTACTTTTATACATAAATTTATTATTTTATGCATAAATATACATATACTTCTATATACATTGTTGGATTGTAAAATGTTTTAAATTTGCAAACCTTTTATTTACTTTTCCATTCCTCTGGAGAATGCTGAAACATAATGCACTGTGTACAATATGTGATGTTCTTTTAGTTTTAAACAAACATTGAAAATGTGTCCTTCTTCAAGAGTTTCTTTAAGGGGAACTAAAGGTACTTGTTGATCCTTGTTCTGCACATAGTAAATAAATAAAAATGATGAAATAAATTTTTTTTAACTAAATTTCAAAATTGAAAAAAAAAAACTTGTTTATTATACTGAAAAATTAACTTCATAATCATACATTTTTCTACTTAATATTTGCCATTTGTAAAATATGAATTTAAAAAAAAATCATAAGTTTATGTCATAAATCAAATGCAAAAAGAATGTAACTTGCAAAGTTTCGAGTTTAAGTTAAACTAAGCAAAGTTTCGAGTTTAAGTTAAACTAAGCAAAGTTTCAAGTTTAAGTTAAACTAAGCAAAGTTTCAAGTTTAAGTTAAACTTAAAGTCTGCATTAATTAGATATAAAAGCAAAAAACAAAATATATTAATTTTTTAAGATTTACATCGGGTATACTATCAGAAAGTATCAATTCTTGATACTTAAAGAACATTTAAAGAAAGTTAATTAAACAAAGTTAATTAAACAAAGTTAATAACATTTTAACTAATTTTTTTTTTAAAGTAGTTGAACTTTATTTCATTGCAAATAAGGCTTAAATAAACTTAATGACATTAATTAATGTATATTATTAATATAAATAATTTGATGTCATCAGTTGATGCCATATTATTTTAATATTATTAATATATTTGTTCAAATATATTTACACTAAATATAAAATCTTACTAACAAAATCTTCGGGATCTAATGAAGAAACAATTTCATAAACAATACAATCTCCTAATTTATTCTCGTCCATTTTAATTAGCTTTTAAATTTTTTTTGATAAATACAATATAAATATCAATAAACAAATATTGGCAAACATACAAACCAACAAGCTTCGTACGATTTCAAAAGCATGGTGATAATTTTTTCAGATGGTGTTGAGACGACCTTTGCGTCATATTTGATATCAACAAATTTTTCCGTAGTCTGCAAATTTTAAAATCTATAGCACCTCCTTTTGGTCACTGATCTCAAAATTTTTAGATCAGTGCCTTTTGGTGCATGCTAAAGATCGCTAACCAATAAACTGTAGTATATAGAAAAACTTTGACGATTTACCGGGTGACGATTTACCGGGTGAATTGCGTTACGCTCAAATTTAAGGCTCTATCCATGCTTGTAGGATCTATTTGTTTACAAATTACGCAATGATATCAACACAGAAATAAAAAAAAACGTAAAAGTTAAAAAAATTTAATTAAAATGGATCAAAAAGAATCAAAAAGACGAAGCCTTCTGCAAATGTTGCAATCGGATAAGACTATATCAGATATCAGAAAGTCTTTAAACTGCTCCAGAACAGCAATTTTTCGAGTAAGAAAATTTTTTCATGAAACAGGAGATATCAAACGACGTTTTAATAAGCCAAAACCTGTAAAACGATCATCTCAACTTTTAAGGTCTGTCAAAAGAAAAGTCAAGCGAAATCAATTGCGCTCCATCTGCCAGTTGGCAAGGGAAGCCAATGTTACCAACTCCACAATGCAAAAAGTTATGAAAGACTTGAACCTTAAATCCAGAGCTGTTGTGACTAAGCATCTTATCACTAATAAACAGAAAAAAAATAGGAAAGAGCGATGCAAAAAATTGTTAAACTGGCGAAAACCTTACCCTAGGCGTGTGACAATCTTCTCTGATGAAAAACTTTTCACTGTGGATAAAGTTACTAATCGTCGTACATTAGTACTGCCAAAAAAATTAAAGGAAGTCCCTGAGAATATTAGGTATTCATTTTCATCAAAAAAACCAGCTTCTGTGATGGTACTTGGTGTGATAGCAAGTAATGGAAAAAGGTGTCCACCAGCTTTTGTGAAAAAAGGTAAAAAAATCGACAGTGATGAGTATATTCACCTCCTGCAAGAGAAGGTCATTCCCTGGTTAAACAGAAACTATCTAACATATATAAATATATAACAGATGGTCAGTATGTGTTTCAGCAGGATGGGGCATCAGCTCATACTTCAAAAAAGATAAAAAATTATCTAAGTGAAAACATGAGTCAGTACTGGGACAAATTAAAGTGGCCCCCATCTAACCCAGATCTGAACCCATTAGACTTTTTTATGTGGACGGCTATGGAGAAAGAGGCTGTCAAGATTCCCCATGGAAGTACCGAGTCACTAAAAAAATCTATATGCAAAGCATGGGTCAAATTTACAGAAGAAAATTTCAAGAATGCATGCAGATCCTTACAGCGGCATATCCAACTTGTGTCATAAATAAACCTTAGTCATGAATAAACATTTAGTCAAAACTCTATTCAGTAATGAATTGAAATAAATTTTTTGTGTATTTTCAAATTTTTATATTTTTTGCGTTACGCTGTTGCTCAGTCACCCGGTACAACGTAAAATATACTACTATTTATTTATAAAAATAAACATAAAGTAGATAAAAATTTACGTTGACCTTCTTTCTAAATAAATACAAAATTTCATCATATTTGGTTCACAAATAGCTGAGCAGCCTGATTTGATCTAATTCTACTTTTCACCAAAGCAGAAAAAATGCAGTCCATTTTTTAGAACGCTTTTTCAATGGCGAATTACGCATATTCTCACACCCCTAATACATGTATGTATATACATATATGTATATATGCATATGTATAAATATACATTACAAGAGAGGGATTGAAAGATAGATATGCATATTTAATTTATTTGTTTTTATTCGTGTTTACATTTAATTTTGTTGAAAATTTAACAAAAATCTCAAAAATATTTTTTATTCCATAATATGTTCACACAGAGTAAAATATGGCATCTGTTAAGAGTTATTTGAATGTCTACTTATTATTTGAATGTCTACTTCAGTATTCCAATATTTTGTAATGAACTGATTCGATAGTATTTTTAGTATAACACAACCTCGGAAAAAAACTGGCAAATTATTCAATCATTTATATCAATGTTTTGACTCGATTTCAGCAAAGTTTTCTACTAAAAATATAAAGTTCCGCTCAAAACATGACAATGCTTTGGGTTAACCAAGACGACGGCTGACTTTCAAAACTGGCTTCAGCGCGTTTTATTTAAAGTATATACTACGGCATCTCCTGTTTATTAAACCTCGTTGCTCTAGCCAATTAGGAAAAATAAATTTAAATTATGATTGTTTAAAGTGAGAAAGTTAGGGTTCACAAATCAGAGAGTTGTTTGATTTTTTTAAAAAGTATTTGTAAAAATATTGATGAGCCAATATACAGGTCTGATATTTGTTAATTGAGAGCCTTTAAATCCGTAGTGCATAAAATCTTCTTAATTTACGTTTTCATTTTTTAGGAACGCAAGTTTAGATTTTCTGAAATGAAATTAGGCTTTTCTTTACAAAATCATATCAGGTCTATTAAATACTCTAATTCTCTAAATTACTTATCCTCTAACATCTTGATATTTACCTTCACAAGTTATTTTCATGAGCCCCAACCTTTCAGAGTAGAGCAGCCTTAAAAATAAAAAATATAAGATTACTGATAAAGATAAAATTTCCCACACACCTGTTTATAAAAACCTACTCCCCCCCCCGCCCTTCATTTATTAGATTTACTACAGAGGTAGTCACAGGACCGGATTAACATACTCATGGGTCCTAAGCACTAACCAAGTATGGTGCCCGATTATAGCCAACTAATAGCAGGTAAGTGCATTAATAAATACCAACCAATAGCAGGTAAGTACATTAATATTTATTTCAATATTATATACACATGCTATAATCTATACATCACACTGTCAGACATAATGTAACTATGATGATGTAAGTTTTAAACAACATGTATGAGTATGATGTGAACAGTTACGAAACTACTACACAATTAGTAACTGTTATGATTTTTATAAATCAGACATTTTGTTTCCTAGACTTTGAAAGTGCAAAATCGTTGATTACATTGTCAAAGTCAACAAAAGTAAGTATATCTGCCTCGATGCAGAGTAGAGACAGAGAGTCCAATCTCTCCTGCTTCATTGTTGTTCTACATGGGTTTTTGAGCCTCTTAAGCTGTGAAAAGGATCGCTCAGTAGAAACAATTGTTAGCATGAAGGTAAGGAAAATGCAAAGTGCAATATCCAGGTTTGGAAAAATACTACGAAGTTTATCTTGAACAATAACGTCACACAGTTCAACATAAATGAAATCACGTTTGTTTCCCTGAAACTGTAAGCTGAGGTACTTATGAAACTGCTGCAGTTATCCAACAATGACCATGCTGAGATTTTCCTGGTAAAAAATGACTAAAGTATGTCAGCCTATGAAATACTCTTCTTCGCTTAATTGTAAGTTATTGATGAATGAAAGCTGTGATGACGCATCTTTGTAAACTTTACTTCTTTCTATTTCAGTCGTTTGTTTGTCAATTATGCTGTAGAATATAAACACTATGTATCCCTGGCATTTATGTCTCCAATCGCAAGAAGGTGTTATACAAAAAAAATATTTAAAAATAGCCAATTCTTTCTTTTTTGATAAATTAGTTGAGATTTCAATTGAATTATTATGGAATTGTGGAAAATGTCCAATCAAAATAATAATTAATTTTAAAATGTCTGCTTCAAAAAATATAAAACATGAATGTAATTTATTTGAATTATTAGTTTGTATATTACTATTAATACTGCTTTTTTTGAAGATATTGACGTCAAGATTTTAGATTTTGTGTTGGTAAAATTAGTGATTTCCAATTAAGAAGTCTATGGCATACTGATAATACTGGAGAAAACAGTTTTCCTCAAAAAATTATTTTTTTAAATATCCTGCTACCACCTGATTTGCTTTTTAGATTTGAATCATATTTTTTTTTCCCATAATAACAAATGCATTGATGAACAAAGCTTCCTATAAATCATGGCTTATTCAGTCAGTGGCAGATTAAGATTTCTTGGGACCCGGGGCTATTTTTATTTTCGGAGGCCTTTTTATGGATTAGAGCCTAAAAATGACTAATAAAAAAAAAAAAAAAAAAAAAAAAAACTCTAAAATTTTTGAGGGTCATTAAATTGCGGGGCCCGAGGCTATAACCCCCCTCCTTGATCCGGCATTGTATTCAGTTTAATAAACATGAAACATTTACTGACAGAAACACTTATCAAGAGCTGATTCCAGTGTATATGGCAAAAAACTTTGAAACACCTATTTTCCGACATAAACAACCCGTTGCTAAAGCTGTTCATACAGTTGCAGTTATTTAGTAATTGCAAAAAAATTGTAGTAGCTTGTCGTGGTGCCCCTTTCCATGTGGTGCCCTGATGGTTAATTTGGTACTGGGTAGCCATATTTTTTTACTTATAAAATGTCGATTTGTTACATTAAATTTGTATCGAATAAAAAACTGACTACCTCTGAAGTAACATTATTCAATTTATTAATCTTTGCGAACAAGAAAAAACCTTTATGTAAAAACAATTTTTGAATTTTCTTGATTTTTAATAAATTTGATATATCATTAAGTTCAAAAAATATATATGTATTATACACAAGTTTGATTTTTATCATAAGCAATTCAAATTTTATAACACATAACATGTATTTTTCAACCGTGAAATTTCCCCTCTTAAAAAAGCAAAAATAAAAAATGTTTAAATAATCTTTTTTTAATTAGGAACTTAATTCCGTAAAAAAAAATATTTATTTGTTATTTATATATATAACAAATATATATATTTATATAAATATAATATATAAATATATATAGTTTTGCCGACGACAGCAAAATAATAGGGATAATTAAAAAGGAGTCGGACAGCATCACTCTTCAAAATGACGTTGACAGAGCAGTGGAATGGTCACACATTTGGCTCTTGCATTTCAACGTTGAGAAATGCAAAGTAATGCATGTTGGGCGCAGATGTAACAAGTCGACGTACAAATACTCAATGTCTAACGTCGACGGCACCCTTCGTCCTCTCGAAAAAACCGCCGTCGAAAGAGACCTTGGTGTGATGGTCTCGAATGATCTTAAAGTCAGACCGCAAGTAGAGTCAGCTGCATCAGTAGCAAATAGAATGCTAGGGCGACTCAAAAAAACATTTCGCAATCGCAGTTTTTATTTATGGCGCACTCTGTATCTCACTTACATTCGCCCCCATCTTGAGTTTGCTGTACAAGCCTGGTCACCGCATTTAAAATCAGACATTACCATTCTCGAGCAGGTCCAACAACGAGCAACAAAAACAATATCGACTATTAAACACCTGTCCTATAAAGATTGACTCCAACGGCTTGGTTTAACAACTCTAGAAGAACGCCGCAAAAGAGCAGATCTTATCGAGCAATTCAAAATTATTCGTAAACTCGAGCTTGTCAGTTTTGTCGTCCCGCAAAAATTTTCAAAAAGTAAAGATAAGTATATTCTAAGAGGCCATAACCATAAACTAGAACGTCAGATGGTAAAAAGCTGTGAGGAGCGATATAACTTTTTTTCAAACAGAATTGTCGCCCCATGGAATGCGCTTTCGCAAGAAGCAGTGAACGCTCAATCCATCAACGCTTTCAAAAATAACATAAGAAAGTAACTTTATAGATACAACTGCTGCTTTGTTTGTAGCGTTTGTATCTCCATGTTCGTCAGCATAGAGTCACCTCTTCATCAAATTATAAATGGATTATTGTATTTGTATTTGATCACTAAAATAAATGAATAAAATAAAAAAAATATATATATATATATAAATAAATAATATATAAATATATATATAAATTATATATATAACAAATTAGAAAAATCTTTAAGAGATGTAAGCAAAACTCTATTTCCTTTTAGTGATGCCATGATCTTATATGATGTGCAAATAATAAAATAGTTATAATAAAAATTCTGAAAATATATTGTTTACTATTTAAAAATAGATGACTAATGGCTAAATTTTAAAATCACCCAAAAAGAATCATTTATAAAATAAAGTTATCATGTTTAAACTTACGTCCAAGGATAGAAATTACAATGTAATATAACACCTGTAATATTATATATAACAAAATACGTTATTATACATGTCCGCAGAACATTATGTTTTTTATTATCAATAAATATAGAGGCTAACGTCCAATATAAAAAAGGACACGATGAAAACAACATTCTTGTTAATATTTGTACATGAAAAGCTACCAAACCAAAAGAAGTTAGAAACAAACAATGTGTTAAATAAACAAAGATGTCTGATGGATTTTTTAGCGATTCTCCTTCTACATGTGAGTTTTCTGTGTCTATCAACCCTAGTGATTTTATAGCGAGGTAAGAATTTTGAAGCGATGCAAACTTTTTTAAACCTATTACTACAATAAGAATTACTGGAAAAGCTAGTAAGAAGTTTGGTATTTGTTTCGTATCAAAATACTTAAATAAGCCAACATTCCAATATTTGTGTTGAACGTAGGAATAAGATAATGGAATCTTATTATAACACCAATGAAATGAAGAACTTACCACGTGATTGTAATGACAATAATTATCGTACACCCAAAATACATGTATAGCAAAAGCGATAGCAGGTGCACTTAAATAAAAACACAGTGGTAAAACAAACCTTAAACAATTTATAAGAGTTAGTAGCAAATTATTTGGCTGTAAAAAAAATAATAATAAAGCTGGCTTATTTGAAAACTGACAAATCAGAGTCTTGGCGTTTCTTTTTAAAAAGAAATGCGCTAAAAATGCTATATTTAGAATACCGTTCGATCGAGTTATAACCGATAAACATATGAAAGTACATGCACTTAAAAAACGATTCCTTTCAAGGTAGTACAGCAAAATGAATTGCAAACATGAATACAGTGACTCACTATACGATGAAATCATAAAAACATTGGCAGGATTTATAATAAACAAAAAACTTGAAACTACAGCCATTTTTTTACCAAATATCCCGTCTGTTAATTGGTAAAGATAGTATGTAGATACAACAAAAAAAAACGAATTCATGAAAAAACTGGTGATATAAGTTGTTAAATACTCGTATGTAAATAATCCAGCGGTTAATCTTGAAAATAAATTCAGCAACAGTGGAAACCCAGGATAGAAAGCAAGCATCTGTTCATACTCATAACCATGTATAGAAATGTAGGTGAAATATACTGAATCCCATTTATTTACACCGTTAAAGATTTTTCTACCGATATTTGATTGGCTCTTACTAATATTTGCTTCAAATAAAGTAATCTGATTGGTTGAGGTATCAAAATCTTCAAAGCAAGCATCAAAAACGAGTTGCACGATAAAAAATATCAACCTTGATACAGCAGCAAGCTGAATCAAACTTTTAAGTGAAAAGCGCAACATGTTGTTTTGAGTGGTACCATAAAAATATTTTCAATAATTAATTGGTATCAAATACCGTTACACATTTTTAGGTTTGCATTATTCTAAAAAACAAATTATAATGAAATTCATATTGAAAAATATAAATTTATAATGAAAAAAAAATCATATTTTCAACCACCTATCTTATACAAATCTACTTTATCTGATTAAAAAGTGAACATACACACACACAGATATATATATATATATATATATATATATATATATATATATATATATATATATATATATATATATATATATATATATATATATATATATATATATATATTCTGGTTTATATATAGATTTTAGACTTATAAGTTTTTAGTACCACCTGTTTCCTGTAAAAAATTAGACCCACTTCAGTTGGAAAGTAATAAAAAACTATTTTCATTTACTTTTTTCTAGTTACCTCCTAGGTTTTAAAAAAAACCGCAATTTGAAAGAAATTTAAAAAATATTAATTGTTTAAACAAAAATATATATATATATATATATATATATATATATATGTATATGTATATGTATATGTATATATATATATATATATATATATATATATATATATATATATATATATATATATATAAATATATATATATATATATGTATATATATATATATATATATATATATATATATATATATATATATATATATATATATATATATATATATATATATATATATATATATATATATATATATATATATATGATATTGATCAACATACATTCAGAGGCGTAGCCAGGGTTTGACAACTGGATGAAGATGTTTTAGAAAAGGCGCCTGCGGGCTGGCAGGTCCCCCAGAGGCGGAGGTATGGGAGGACCCTTCAAAAATATTCCCCCTGAATGTTGGAAACATTCACAATAACAAACAACAATTAACTACACTACAATAATTTAATATAAAAATAATTTAATATATTACTCTTAACAATACAACAATAGTAGGGTGTGTGAAACTTAATTAAGCTTCATTCGTCTAGGTTTCATTAGAGCAAAATGATTTAACACAACTTCAAGATAAAGGTCATTCACTAAGTCTCTTTCTGTTTTCCATAATGTATGATACATTATTGAATACAGATGATTTATGTATAAACATACATAATATTACTTTAGCATTAAATTTCATAACCAATTATAACATCAACATAATAATTGTAATAATTTTTTTTAACATTACTTTCAAATAAATTACATCTAAACTATTTAATAACAATAATATAAAATTACTGAAAAAATTATGCATTTTTATCTTTTTCAGAACATTTATTTTTTGGGCTTAAAATACAACATTTTCCAAAAATAACATTTTTTAAACTTTTTATTTTTCGAGGGTATCAATGTTGATTAAACTGATTTAAAAGATAATTGACAAATAAAACGGAATTTTTGTCTAATTTGGAACAGTTTAATAAAAACTTTTGTTATTATAAAATATTACATTATAAGTCAACTGCAAACAGATAAACGACATTCGATGACATTTTTAGTAAACTTTAATAAACGTTGATTAATGACAAACAAATAAGCGTTGGTAAACATCAAGCGGATACACCGTAAGTAAGCAATATAAAAACATATTATACAACAAGTATATGAATAACAGTAAACGATTAATAAACGAACGACGGCAAAAGAAAAACGGATAAATCACTGTAAACAGTATTACGATTAAATGACGGTAAACGAGATACATGACTTTGAACAGTAAAAACTTAATACTCGCAAATAAACAAACAAAATCTAAAAAAGGAAACCATAAAGATATCTTCGTAAAATCTTTAGTTTCTTCATTATTTAACAAACTTTCCCAGTAAACCTTTGTTTTATATGTTTTTTAAAAACACGTCTTTAATTATTTGCTATAAATATGATTGAGAAGAAGTAAAGCTGTATCTTCTGAAGTCCTAAATATATATATATATATATATATATATATATTTTATATATATTTTATATATATTTTATATATATAGTATATATAAAATATATATAAAGTATATATAAAATATTACTCATAACAATAAAGCAAAATAAAGAGATAACCAAAGTAAAATAAAACATTTTCATCATAATTTGTTTAGATAATGCGAATTTTAACAAACCAAATATAGTAAAACTGAATAAGTATTTAAATTCTTTTTTTTTTTTTTTGGTATTATAAAAATTCTAACCAATAGCAAGCATGGCTGCTTAATGCAAACAAGTATTCATTTAACATCTCTAAAGGACGTTCTTGAAGAACATAATCGACACGTTTACCACCATTGATCAAACCAAAATTAAAAGTTTTCTCTCTTTTTAATTGCTCATCATCTTCATGAGCTGGATATAAACAAATTAATTTAATAATAACAAATAAAAATGAAACGCAAAACTAAGAGATATTTAAATAATATTATTAATCAAACTCTTACATTCGTGGACGGCACTGCTCAAATCATCTTGAGAAACCATTTGACTTTGTTGCTGTTGTTGTTGGTATTGAGAGGTATGAGCACGAGCAAATTCATTAATAGAGGACCATGTACGACTTACAGCGTCCAGAAGTCCGGTTTTCAGATTGACCCCAACACGAGCTAAGTTCTCTTTAATTTCTAAAAAAATCAATTGAAACGCAAATTTAAAAAAAGAACAAAGGTTAAATAACCTAACTGGTATGCAAAACGCACCTAAATGAATTCTTTTTCTTCCTTTATGGTGAGGTATGAGCACTGGAGGTAAATCAATATTTTCATTTATTAATGGCTCCAAACGATAAACCTAAGAAATGTATTTAATAATGTATTTGTATCACTATAACTTACACAAACAAACAAAAAAAGGTATTAAAAGCAGAAACTAAGTTCTTACCACAGGATCAAACTTCATATGACCATATATAAAGATAAAATTTAAATTTGAGTAAAATACATAATGATAATTAAAGTAAAATACATCTAAAACAAATTCTTATTTTATTCTTTACAATTTAACCACTTATTAGTTTATATTTTTTACGAAAAACCAAATTATTAAAAAAAACAATGAAAATATTTACCGGATGAAAAATATTGAGAAAATGATTGCAGTTTGGCAGCTTGTAATTTTGACCAATAGAGGTCACCCCTCTGAAAATTAAATTATTTTTCAATCTTTTGTGATATCAGCTTGAAACTTTCTTTCATTAGTTAATTCTTTATAAAACGTCTTTTGGTCAGTAGGATACTCACCAAAAGAGGTTATTGCAAACTAGCAAACTGGTATCACCTGAGATTGACGAATATCAACATGAGATAATACAAAAAAATTAACGGAAAAACTATTATTATTCAATAAATTAAATCTAAAAAAATTTAACCTGCATGTTAAAAATAATCCTAATGGTGAACCCAATGCAAAGAGACTGTCAGTTATAAATTCTAACTTTGAGTACTGAACTAATGGTTGACCAGTTCCAGCTGTACCCTTATGATATGCCATTTGTAAACTTTTCTTATTGTTCTTATTTGTGCTTACAGGTGTCTGAGTTCCACGATTTAACATTTGAATTGCTTCAGACTTTGTGGTGCTTGTTTCCTATGTACAATATCATCAAAAATGAGTAGCCTCCTGAGTATGAATGAGTATCTCACGGCTTTAAGGAGGTAGATACAGTAAAAAAAACTTTTGGAACTTCGAAAAATTGTTCAAAAATATATCATTTTAAAAATTAAAAACAGTTTAAAAGATTGAAAAAGAATCAAAAAAACAGTTTAAAACAATTTAAAAATCTATTGTCTTATACTAAAAATCCAAAGAACAAAAAGAAAAACAAAAAAAGACAAACTTAAACATTAATCCACGAAACGCATTCTTAATAAAAAGTGTAGTATATTATTAAAAACTTTAACATTTTTTTTATTTTTTGATATTTAAACTTTAAAAGAAATAAATCAAGATATTATTTAATACAAAAAATATTTAAAAATTGAACAATAAAACTTAAAATAAACTTATATAATAAAAATTTTATGTCAGAAGGCTAAATGAATTCTTATTTTGAAGGCATAAAATCCCTAATTTTAATGTTGTCTCAGAAATTCATATTTTTTGAGCAACATTAAAAAATATATAAAAATGTTTCCTTAATTATTTTAAGGTCTTAATAAAACGTTCTTTGAATTTTTTCAAACTCAAAGAATGTTTTATTAAGACAGACACTGACTATATTGTAGGTCAACAACTAACAAAAACCCAAGGCTCAAATTGCCAAAATAAAGGTAGTTTATACCCATAAAAACTTTTTTTAGAAACCCCCTTCAGTTTCTAGCTGAGAAACTCTAATAATGCAACCTATACTCTTACATTTATAAGTAAAATAAATACTCTTGCATTTATAAGTAAAATAAATTTAGAATGTTAAAAATTTAAAATACCTGGTGATCATTTGTCATGTCTTTAAGGTACAACATTAACTTTTTTCGAGGACCAAATTGAATACCAAGATCTTTTAAATCAGAGTCTGTGCATAAAAGCTAAACAAGTAGGAATGATAATGATGATGATGATGATTATGAAGATGACGATGATAACAATAATAATAAAAGCTAAACAAGTAGGAATGATAATGATGATGATGATTATGAAGATGACGATGATAACAATAATAATAAAAGCAACAAATCGAAAAATAAAAAATTAATAATAATAAAGAAAGTTTACAAGAGTTTCTGTATCCATCTGCTCCTTAATAAATATAGATTCTAGATGCAACAAATTAAGATGAGTAAGAATTTCATTAACAGATCGAAACTTTTTCCCAGTATACTGTGTTATTAGAGGTACAATAGATCTATAAACAAAATTCAAAATGTAATTTATAAAAAACTTTATTTTATTTCATAAAAAAAAATTGGTAACAAAATTTTCTACAAGTGAATTGTTACCTAACTTGAGATTGTACTTCAAAATCTTCATCAGGTAGATGATTAACTGGTAATGAATCGAAATTCTAAAGAAGCAGCAATAAAGTTTTAAAATTTTTTTTATTTAGAATCATTGATTTTCTTGCTTGTAAAAAGCTAGAGATGAGTCTCAATAAAAACTTATCAAAAAATTAACAAATTTGCTTTCTTTTACTGTATATTCTGATACAAAGGTTAGCTTTCTTTCTTTTTTACTACATCTGAATTTATTTCATTTGTAAAAATGTAGTTGTCAGTCAAACCTTTGTAACAAACTTTTTACATGATCGTTATTCAAAAGTTTGAGTGGTTTTTATAAAATTAATTAATTTTTTAACTTACCGGTAATAGACTAATTTAAAAGTTAAAAAGTGATAAAAAGTTACTTAACAGAAACGCTTTAGGGGGAGATTTATAGCTTAATGCGTACAGAAACTGCGAGCTGCATGACACTTTAAAACTGTGCCTTCATAAAACATAATCATTTCCATACATAAAATATAATTATTCACATACGTGAGATAAAATTATTCACATGTATGACATTAATATATATATCATCTATATGAATTATATGCCATCTATGTATTCACATAGATGGCATATAATTCAAATAGATGAAATATATATTAACATAAATTACATATAATTACCTGGTTAGCGAGAATATCAAAGAGAATGCAAGAACCTAAAATAAAACTAACTTAGTATTGTTATTGTAGTCTTAAAAAATTGGAATTTTAAACTTATCTAAATATAAAAAGTGAAATTTAAAATAAACCTAAGCTATGACCAGCAACACAAATTTTTCCATTAAATGTAGGTGTTCGAGATAAAAACAATGCATATAAGCGATTCATCTCATTGATTATTGTGTCACATATTGTCTAAAAATATTTAAATTATTAACATACCAATTTCTAATATTCACATATCTTTTTTTAAACACTTAAAATATTTTTTTATTAAGAAACAAAAAAACAAATTAACAATACTTATAAAAACAGAATAACTTACCTGACAGTACATAGGGCTTGTATAAAACAAAATATCTGTTAAAGTTTCATTTGTAAAGTTACGTAATTTGCTAATACTTGGTAAAGAGAGCTTCTTCAATTGGCTATAATAAAAAATTAAAACTTTAAAAATTATACTAACATGCAAACTAAATTAGCTATCATATATGATGCTTGATAACAAAATCAACTTATTTTTTGATATTATAAAACAAAAACAATCGTATTATTATAATTTAAGATTTTAATTTTTAGGAAGCTTTTAAATTATAAATTAATATAGTTTTAGATAAAAATAAAAAAAAAGTTAAACATATGAAAAAATTATTTTGAATAAACAAAATGAATTGAAAACATTCAATCATTTTTATTTCTCTTGCTGATCAATGAATAACTGATAACCAAAAATGATTATTTAATTTAAGTTTTAAGAAACTATTTAATTGACACAGAAAATTTACAGGGGGGAAAATAACATTTATTTTTTTTCGTTGGTTTCACTTTTTAAACTTGTTTTTCTGTTTTTAAAACAATCTTCAACAAAAAAAAATTTCTAAGTAACCCAAACTAAAATATCTATAGTTACTGATTAGCATAATCTACTATAACATATTTATATGCGCAATTGCTCACTTTTTTTGCTCATCTAAATCGATATAGATTTTTTAGAAAACGAAGATATATATAATATATACTAATATATATATATATATATATATATATATATATATATATATATATATATATATATATATATATATATATATATATATATATATATATATATATATATATATATATATATATATATAATATATATATATATATATATATATATATAATATATATATATATATAATATATATATATATATATATATATAATATATAATATATATAATATATATATATATATATATAATATAAATATATATATATAATATATATATATATATATGTATATATATATATATATATATATATTAGTATATATATATATATTTTAGTATATATATATATATATACTAATATATATATATATATATATATATATATATATTTATACTAATATATATATATATATATATATATATTTGTATAATATATATATATATATATACAAATATATTATATATATATATATATATTTGCATAATATATATATATATATATATATATATATATATATATATATATATATATATATATATATATATATATATAAATTATGTTAGTGTATTCTACAAATACAGTGCTCAATGTTCTTAAAGAACAGAGCAATAATAAATTAGTAAAAACATTTAGGTTGCCAGGAACAGTAAAAACAAGAAGTAGTTCTCTTCCTGATAAACCTACTGATGGAGAAACGAATTGTTGAAGAAAAAACTAGTTAAGTGTTTTTACTAATTTATATATATATATATATATATATATATATATATATATATATATATATATATATATATATATATATATATATATATATATATATATATATATATATATAGAGAGAGAGAGAGAGAGAGAGGGTCAGAGAGAGACAGCATCTTCATGCAAAGAACACGTAGATGAAAAAAAAATTTATCATTTTAGTTTTTTTGTTTAGATACTTATTGAATAAAGTAGTAGATGCTTATTTCTAAAAATCAAAGTCTGATTAATATAAAATATATTATCAAGATGTTTAAAATAAAACTAAATTGGCTAGGAATTCAAAATAAATGCTGCTGCCTAATGGGCACAGGACGTCCTTGGACGCCCATAGTACATACCATTTACATCCATTCATCTAAGTCCAAAATGGTACATCTTTGGACATCCATTTTGGTCATTTTTGGATGTCCAAAAATGTATAGTCTAAAATAGTACGTTCAAATAGTAAAAATAGTAAAGTCCAAAATAGCACGTTCTCGTACGTCAAATTGGACTTACTTTTATGCACACGTGAATATAAAATATTTTCAAAATGGTTAAAAAAACACAGTTTGAAAGTTGTCAATTAGTCAACTTATTTGATAACTATAACTATTTAGTTATAGTTATCAAATATTAACTTATGGTTTAACTATATAGCTCTATAATAATATCTTTTTATCTTTATATTTTAAATTTAATTTAAAAATATAGACTATAAACGGTAATCAAATAAGCAAAATATTTTTCCTTCAAAAAGTTTATTTTGTGAGCTCATAACCATGAGTCTTTATCTAACTTAAAATTGAAATCAATAAATATAAATATCTTCATACTAATAAAAAAACTACATTTTTTTATTTTTTAACATAAATTTTGTATGCAATATAAATTTATCACATATTTTATATTATTAATTTTATAGAGATTTACATAAATATAGTTGTAGTTGTAATATATTTTTTATATGTATATATATATATATATATATATATATATATATATATATATATATATATATATATATATATATATATATATATATATATATATATATATATATATATATATGTATATATATACATAAAATTTTAAAATTAATGATAAAGAAAGAGTGGCTATTCCAAAAAGTTAAATGGAATAATTTTTATTTATATTTAGATGAGGAGGATGGCCTATTTATATATATATATATATTTATATATATATATATATATATATATATATATATATATATATATATATATATATATATATATATATATAAAATAATGAATTTAGGTTTGAACAAGTTGGAAGTTAAAGAAAAAGAGAAAGTAAATGCTTAAATGTTGTAAATGCTTTGAGAAGTTAAGATAAACTAGTGACGATAGAGCTTAAGTTCAAGAGATGACAATTTAATGTGAGTTTTATTTGCATCAAAGAAAAAATTATTTATAAATTTTTTTTATTATCATTTTCATTAGGAGATGAAACAGCAAGGCTACTTTTAGTTGTATGGCTTAAACAGCAAGGCTATTTAAGTCACGCAACTATGGAACCATTATTTTAAAACTGTTAAAAAAATATTATTCCAAATTTAAAGATTTTTTAATATTGTTACATTAATGTATCTTGGATACATTCATGTATCTTGTTGGTACATGAATGTATCCGTGTATCAACTTTATTCTTTGTTTAGAATTAGCGAATTTAAGATTCACAAGCCCAAATCCTTGATAGACTTAAAAACATTGAGCAAAGTGGAAATGTTGATTTTATTTTTAATGATGACAATGTGGAAAAAAAATCAATAAGTTCATTTGAAAGATTCAATATTATTGAAAACATTTTAAAAACAAGTTCAAATGCAAGAAAATGCAAGGTAACTTCCAATGTTCACTCACTTCGACAATAAAAGTTTATATACCAGTTTTTATTATTGTGTGATGCCTGAGTGTGTAAAAATTTAGTGAAAGGTATAATAGTTGTATTGCGCTTGCTTTCTAAATAAGAAAATCCAAGTTTGATACGCACCACGTCCCTTAAAGTACCATGCTCAAACTTAAATCTAATCACAGCGGTCTTGTTTGTCAGGGTTGGTGTTTAAGTTAAGTGTTTAGTTAAAAGCTAAAAATTTATATATATGTATATATATATATATATATATATATATATATATATATATATATATATATATATATATATATATATATATATATATATATATATATATATATATATATATATGTAACAAATGCATTAAAGGTGAGCATTGAAAGCGAGTTTGTAGCTATTGCATCTTATATAAGACTGAAATATTTTTGTTAACAGTAAACTGCAGAATGTGAAACAGTAGTATATTGTTAATTTTTTCCTATTCATCATTTGCAAATATATTTGCAGTTGTTTTTATTTTAATTTAGTTTTTTTATGTATGACTTTCCAAACCTAATAACAAGTATTTTAATATAAATTTTAATTGTAGATTGTTGACTTTTTGGAAATCAAATTCAAAAGCAAAGTTTATTTACTTTGCTTTTGATTTTAATTGTTTTTTTTCTGATTTTCTAAACCATGCTCAATGATTGACAGACAATTTTGTGATAAATGTTATTTCTTTCGATAATATTGTTGGTAACAGAATTGGTTAAGATGCAAGCAACACCGAGGGTACCATTGGTGACACATTAAAATTGAAAAATAAGACAAATGCGTCAAAAATAGAGTAATATTTTTGACAGTATTTATATATTAATATTGTCAAAAATATTACTCTATTTTTTTGTAATGATTTGTGTCAATACTGGGATTTAACTATTTATGAAGTAATCTTATTATTATCCTATTGAGGGTTGCAACTCGTATTGAATCCCAAAAACACGTGTATATTAATTTAGGCTTTGTGGGAAAAAAAAAGACTTCATTTCTTATATCAAGACTCCATTTTTTATAGTAGCTAGAAATAAAGTTGGTATGAGAATGAGCTGATTAAATTTAAACGCTGAATGAACGGACAAAATTTAGATGACCATAAGACACCCAAAAGTTTCTATTGTGGACCTCCAAACGGACTGTTTTAGACATCCTTGGACGTACTTTATAGGTCCAAAATGGACGGACGAAATTCGTTGCATTTAGTACGTCTATAGTACTTCTACGGACGCCCATTTGGACGTCCGAACAGACCATTTTGGATGTCCTTGGATGTACTATGGACATTCTATGGACGAATTATGGGCGAAGCCATAAGCAGTACTAATATTAAAGTAAATATGAATCGTTTGATTTTTTTCCTAATGTAGTAGTAGTTTTTGCCAGCCTTTCCTACTTCATACCCAAATTCTATTAAAAGTCAGTACAAAGTTAAATATATATGATATATAGTATGTTATATATAGGATATTTAGTATGAACAAATTATCAATGAATGTATAGAATATATAGGAAAACATAGAATATATATAAAAAAAATATATATATATATAGGATATATAGTAAATTATATATATATATATATATATATATATATATATATATATATATATATATATATATATATATATATATATATATATATATATATATATATATATATATATATATATATATATATATATATATAGGATTTTAGGGCACAATTTAATTTTTCATTAAGTCCCAAACATGTTTTGCCTAACTTTAATTAAACATTTAAAAAAACAAGTTTTAAAGTAATTTGTTTCAAACGAAATTTGAAAAACATAACAAAAAGTACTTTAACTTTAAAATTTTTTTAGCTTTATTTTAAAGCTAATTTATTTTCTTTTTCGAATTCTTTTGCTTATTCTTTAGTTTTTCAATTTTCTTTTCCTAGTTTAAGTTTAGCTTAACGTTTCTATTTTCAGCACATTTCTGAAATGTTTAAATCATCCAAACATCTAAACGGTCATGGTAAAGTTGTAAACAAAAAAAATCCTTTGCCCGGTCAGCAATAGCCTTCGATCGCAAGCCATTCCTGCTGAAGCTTTATTTTGTAGAATTTAATTCCCGTCGGTCACAATGTCCGATTACTTTGTAAATTGACCGGACAAACTAAAATTGTAGCCGGACAATGCCCAATGTCCGACCGTTAAATTGAGCCCTGAGATATATAGTAATATAAAAATATATAGGATAGTTATACAGAATATATAATAGTATAAAAAAATATATAGGATATGTAGTAAGAGTTTATAGGATATATAGGAATATATAGGATATAAAAGAAAAATAAAAAAATGTATAGGATATATAGTAAGTTATATATTCAATGTATTTCAATGCTTGACTACTCGATTTATAAAAACTAATGCGTTGGCTCACATGATGTCCTCTAGTTTTAATTGAATTTGATACATTAACATAAAGGACATGAGGCTCACTCTGTGACAGTGTCTGCATTGTTAATATTTTATATGCCTGTAGTAGATCACCCTTTATAATTCAATGAGTTTAAGTAGACTCAGACAAGCTTTGTATGACATATGGCGGTAAAATGGTGTTAAATAGGTAGGTTGTCTTTGTACTTCCTTAATTTTAACAATACCCATTCCTAATGATGGATTACTAGCTATACTGTAAATTCCAGTTGAAGTTGTACAAACATTGTGTATCAAATGTTAAGAATTTGTTTAGTAAATGTGCGAAACAACATGCCAAAATACGGTTGACTATATTGGTCTCATAAGCTGAATTAATATATTAATATTTTAAGTTAGGCTTATGTTTACCTCAGCTATATAATTGATATCAATTTGAAGTTTTTGTGAAGCTAATGGGTGATTTAACTGTGTGCTGATGGTGTCATCAACAGAGAATTTACATGGATAGTTAACCATATCGACTATCTTGTTTAGGAAAATACACTGTAAGAAGAAAGCTTATGGAGAAGACCAGCATGCCAAACTTTATCAAAAGCTTTAGAAATGTCAAGAGCAATGGCTTTAATCTCTCCATCTTTATCTAATGCATGATAAAACCTATTGGTTATTACTGTTAACAAATCAGCTGTAGAACGAGAAGATCGAAATCCATATTGATGATCAGAAAGTAAATTATTAGAATTAAGATGAGGCATTAAGTGTTTGTCAATTAAAGATTCAAAAACCTTGCTTATGATAGGAAGAAGACTAATGGGATGGTAGTTAGACAAATCAGATCGCTCTCCAGAATTTTTGAAAATAGGGATAACAGATGCTGCTTTCCAAAAGGCTGGAAAATAAGACTCTGATAAGCACTTGTTAAATAGTTTTGAAAGTATAGACGACAGCTCCGGAGAAAACTTCTGCAAGACTATAAGAGGTATGTTGTCCGGGTCACGAGCTGTAGAAAAGTCTTAGCAGGAAATCACTTTAAATACAAAAGCTGTAGTGATACGAATGTCAAGCATCATATCAGGTAGAACGCAACTAGTGGAATCAAGAGATGATATTGATGAAAAGTTCTTAGCAAACAATTCAGCTTTGTCTTCAGGTGAAGTGACGAAATCTGAATCATACAAGAGAGGCAGAATTTCAGATTTGCCTTTATTGTTGATACTATTAAAGATTCTCCAGAAGTCATTTAGACTTCTGGAGAATCTTAAATAGCCAAATCAGTAAAAAGCACATTTGTCAACAGAAAGACAAAAGATTTCTATCCAAGGGCGATCACAAAGAAAATCACAAAAAGAGTCTCAGTCAGCTTTAACTTAGTTGTAAGAGGTACAATGATAGGGGGTTTCAGATGATGAAGAAAAATGAGATAATAGTTTTTACAGAGATCAAACTGTGATCAGAAGCACCTAAGGATGAATGTGGAGAAACTGAGCACTGACTAGGATCAGAAACAAGATATAAGTCAAGTAGAGAAGGTAAATGATTCGATTTGTCTGAAAAGCGAGTTGGAAATTTGACTACTTGAGTTAGGGATTGAGAAAGGTAAAAATTTGTGGGCTTTAATGCCTGCAGAGTAACTGACACTAGAGCCAAGCCATTCAGTGTTATAAGCATTAAAGTTACTGACAAAAACAATATTGGCTGATGGATAAAGAGAGAGGGCTTGGTCAATATGATCAATAATAACATCAAGAAGAGTGCAATGAGATGAAGGAGAGCAATATGGAACAAAGAGAAAAGCGATAGAGTGAAGTGGTGCTAAATGAAAGCACATAAAAGAATAGTCTGTGGATTCAAACCTAGTTTCCCAACAAATGGATGAATTCTTACGAATGTAAATGCCCAGGCCAAGCATGTGACTATTGGAGTCTTTACGAATTAAAGGAAGATTACCATCAACACTAAGATCACAAGATGAGACAGCTGAACTCAAATTAGTCTCACAAAGAGCAAATAGGTCTGGTGAACTTTGCAAGAGATAAGACTCAACAGAAGAAAAGTTACTTCGAAGACCACGAATATTAGTGAATGATTTAGAGAACTTGGTGGTGACAATGGTTTTTTGTGTTTTATAGTTTTGGGTACTTTATTCATTTTTAAATTTGTTAAAGAACTTGACTCGAAGCATTGATAGTACTCAGTACACTGTTTAATAACTCAAGCAATTGCTTCATTACTATTAATAAAACCTAATCCGTAACAAAGGGCTCCAATGTGGTCTTGGCAATGCACACCAAAAGTACAAACAGGGACACCATCCATGCACAACATGGCACTGTTAGTACTTTGATATTTTTCAATTGTTGATGGAATCAGCCTCTCTGAAAGCTACTACAAAGTTTGGGATGCCTGACTACCAGCCAGCCTCAGAACCATAAAACTGAGTTTTAGAGCTGTATCCTCATTAGGAGATAATAGAATGAGTTGCCTAGTCATAAAAACAGAGACACAAACAAAACACATGCATTGAGTCAAGAAGATCCAGCAATCAACATCCTCAACTGGAAACAATGTATTAAAAATACATCTGCCCTAGCCTAATAGATGAAGAAGGGGTGCGAGGCTGGTCAACAGATAGAATCTGTTTACCCCTTAAGTCTTTGCCTAGGAGGCCTTCTACAAGACATTAGCTGGTTGTTTTAACATTTAACATCTGCGCAAGATGAGTATTTTAATAGAGACACCATATCTAGCCTTTACTCAATCAAGAACCCCAAGGCAGGGGGTGTTTTATGTCGGAGTTGGCATCTCCTAGAATTTGCTTAAAAAGGCGTATCTTACAAGGCAGCATGGACATGCTTACGTAAAATTGCTTATGTAGGCGTATGTAAATTGCTCTAAGCGTAACGCTTTAAAACAAGGCCTGTAAAGAAGATATTTAATACTATAGATATATTGAATAAATAAAATTTCATTAATAATTAAATGATACATGCAAAGTTGATAAAATTGTGATGTAAATATAAAGGTATTTAATTACATAGAAATAAAAGATTTATAATATACTAATATATGTCTGTTTACTTTGATGCCTAGCCTTTTAAATATTTAACATTTGTTAAATGTTAAACATTTTGAATTTTTTTGGTAATAAAATAAACAAGAATTTTAAATGATCAAGTATATGTTAAGTATATGTAAAGATCAAGCCGTTTTAAGAAACCAGGTAAAAATTTCAAGATCAGCTTGCTAGTGAACTCTGTAGCATAAATAGCTCCAAATATTGTCTAAACAAGCTAATTTTGGCTCTAAACAGAACAAACAAAATGTATAATACATTTAAAAAATATTTATTTAAAAACATAAGTTATTTAATTTATAGTTAATATTTATTTTATAGTTAATTTAATAGTTAATTTAAGGGCTTGAGTTATTGTAATGCACTTTTTTTTTGGAATAATGGTCTAAAACACCAAACAAAACAAGGTTTGAGTTATTGTAATGCATTTTTTTTTTTTTTTTTTTGAATAATGGTCTGAAAAAACATTTTATAATAACACATAGAAAACTTTTTCTCACAGCACATATCAAACATTTTCTTTCAACATTGTAAAACAGCATTTAAGATATATTTGGTTGTTAGGCCATTTTTTATTGTAAGGTGGATCAAACATCCCTCATATGTATAATGCTTATCAATTCATCAACTTAAATTTTAATCAAAATATAATTTTCAACCTGTCTACTCCATGTAGGTCATTTCTTAAACAAGAATGCCATTGAACTGGAATGAACTCAACTCGGCGAGCTGCATTTCCATTATTAGTAAACCCATGAGTTAAAGTCAAATCCAAGCTGATTCTGCGGAAATCTTCAACTATTAACAACAGCAAAAAAAAAATAATAATAATAATAAACCTTGGAAAAAGACTTTTACTCAATATGTTAATAAAACATTATTTCTTGTTACTATGTTAATTCTATACAACTTAATGTGTTATTATAAAAAAATATGTTTATATTTGAAAAAACATTTTAAAATTAATAAAACATTGAAAAATTACCACACTCAACAATAGAACGCATTTTTAAATCAGCAACAGGACCAATACCATGAACAACAAATACTAAATGATCAACTTCTTTTGTCTCACCTTAAAAATATTTAAAAAAAATAAAATTAGATCTATAAAAAACTTTTTGTTTTTATAATAAAAGTATTTTAGTCTACAAATTATTTTTTGTAAGCTTAGAAATGCACTAATATATTATGTGCACTTACTAGTCTACTACTACATTTACTACAAGAACATTACTACTGCCAGATTTACTACTGCTACATTACAACGACACTGCAAAATAAAATTATAAAAAACTTTAAGCTATTACTTAAAATGTTAAAATTCCTATGCATATAATTTACCAGTTATAACAAAAGTTATAATACCAGTTCACACCTTTAGGTAAAGATTAAATATCCCTTGCCACAATAATACTTTATGAAAATAGTATGCATCATAAAGTATAAATACATCAGAATATAAAATCTATTATATCAAAAATTATTATTCACAGAACTATTATTACTACTTTTTTATAATTGTTTACAAGAAAAATGACTGCAACATTGACAACAATAAATTTTAAGATGCAATGGTATGGCTAATGTCTGCAAAAAAAATGACTGCAACATTGACAACAATAAATTTTAAAATGCAATGGTATGACTAATGTCTTGTAATAAAATACTAGTTATTGCAAAAATATTATTAGATTTGTTAAATCTAAATTTTATAAAAAAAAACTTTTTTTATAAAATTTAGATGTTTTTCTTTATTATTATAAACAATTCACGGCAACAATATTATCTTTTACCACCACACTTTTAACTTCTAAAAAAAGAGGGTTTTTTTTATGAAATATTTTGTTCCGAAATACTGTTCCAATTTGTTAAAAATGAATTAAAAACCTAAAAATTTAATAACATTGTAACATTTTTAGTGGAAAAAAATTATATATAGTAATAGCTTTTGAAAAATTCTTATTTTATATCAAATTATTTAATATTGGTTATTTTACTTAGTTTAAATACTTCATGCTTAATAGATGATTTTTTTTGTAACAAATAAAGTCAGGAGTTTAATTGCTAGCACTCTTATTTCATTTACTGCAATAACATTAAACTTAGAAACAGACAAAATTTTGGTTTCAAATGTGTTTTGAATATTTTCAAATGAATAAAAGAGATACACGTGAACTTACAAACAAGCAACATAGCTGTGTTTTTTAAAAAATTCAAATTATTAAAAACAACTTAACTAGTTTTTATATAATTATATTTTTTTTGCAACAAAAACACATTGAAATATTTTTCAGAATAAAATATTAGATTTCTTTGTAGTTAAAACTACTGACCCTCTTTAAAAAAGTTAGTGCAGGTTGCAGTATTAAAAGCCAACAACAAGAAATACAACTTGTTAACAGAAATTCACATTTAAATCATTAACAAAGAGTGCAATTTTGCATTCCATGTTGATGACGATTAGTGCAGTCATCAACAGCAAAGATAGCAGTCTCTAAATATTTACTCCCTTTAAAAGATCATTGAACTAAACATGATCAAAAAAACACCACCAATTTAAAATCAACAACATTAGAAAAGATTTAAAAACAAAAATGATTTAGGTATACCTTGCTGAATAGTCTCTTGCAATTCACCAACACCTCGTTGAACAACTTTTGGTCGCACTTTTGCATCAGCACCAGTCCAGTCAACATGTTCAACATCTGACACATATTGAACAAGCACATTAGGATTGTGAAACAACACAAAGACATTTGGTGCAATATCAACCCTAACATTGTAAATTCCATTACGAATCATTTTAGCATATTCCATCTATACAAAAAAAATTTTAAAGTAAACATTGATATAACAGGAGTCATGTTAACTGTTTTAAAAATTACAGAAAGGTTAAACAAGTTTTTATTGTATGTCTATCAATATATGTGATACATATATGTCAAAATCTCAATTTATATGTATGCCAATATATATGTCAATATCTCATTTATATAACATATATTCAATATCTCATTTGTTCTCTTTCACTCTCTTTGTGGATATTTTGAGGTGGATATTTTAAGAACTTAAAATTATTATTTTTCAGTGTTATACCTGGATATGTCAGAATATTTTGTCATTTTGTCACTTTTTTTCTTGTGTTTTACTTAACTTTTTATCACTTTTTATTTACCTGCCAAATGATTTTTTTTTTAAGTTTAATTAATTGGCAATTTTGTCAATAAAAAAGTTAACACCTTTCTTACAGTTTTTTTTAAAAATTGTTCACAAAAAATATTTATTTGAACAAATTTTTACCAAATTTCCAAACTTTATTTTAACTTATTAAAACTATATATATATATATATATATATATATATATATATATATATATATATATATATATATATATATATATATATATATATATATATATATATATAGAGAGAGAGAGAGAGAGAGAGAGATTTTGCATTTAAAGGACTTTTTTCGCAAAACTACAAAATCTTGAATACAAATAAAGGACTTTAGAGGAATTTTTTTTACAGGTTTATTGTTCATGTTTCCACACTTTTGTGGTTTGGACAGAGGTCAATAATCTCATTTTTTATGTTATGTTAGACAAAACTGATTTGCTAAAATTGATTTTTTACAATTCCATTCTCATTTTAGACGTTAACTAGTTTTGCTAACATTTAAAATGCTACTATCAAAAAATAAAAAAGAGGAATGAAAGAGGATATCACATTCTCAACTTTTTAGAGGAAACAACAAAATAGTTCATTTTGTTCAAAACTTTGAAAACTAATAAAGTTCAATGACAAAATTTTAAAACTATTAAAACTCAATGACAAAATATGAACATTATTTATTCAACACTTGTTTACTAGACAGCAGTCTTAATTTACTGACTTGATTTTAGAAACAGAAAACGTGCAAGTTTGGAATCCATAAAAGAGTGGTCTGTGGTATTGACTCCAAAGCTGCCGGAGAACAACAACTTAAAAACACTGATAAAACTCCAGATAAGATAATTAACTTAACTAAATTAGGGCTTTTTATTTCCTGTAAAAATTCAATACTCGGGATTCCGAAACAAAAATAATTAATTTCCTAAGATCCCGGGAAATCCTGGGATTAGGCAACAGGCAAGAATTTATCCAATTAGGTGGGGAAAAATGTGTTAATTCAAACAAATACACAAAAAATGCACTTTTGATACTAATTTAGAAAAAAGAAAAAGATAAAAGATACTAAATACAAAATAATTCATTGAAACTTTCAAAACAAAACAAGCATAATTAATATTAAATTTTATAAATTTTTTAACTAATTTTATAAAAAACATAAATTGTCAATCACTTAATGATTAATTTTTGTAATAAAAAGACCCGCTGTCGAAAAAGCATTTTCCAACTGGATTGATGTCGGTGAGTGTTATATAATTTGTCTAAATTATTTGTATACTTTTTCATTGCATCAAAAATAACCATTTCTTTGGCAATGTTTTTAACTTCATATATTCAATTAACATTTGTAATGGCAGCATTTTTGGTGAAGTATTAATTTAGATATAGTCTATAAATTTGGTTTTTCACAACATTTTTCCCAACTGGGATCCTGTTTGAGAAGCCCTAATATATATTATTATAAGCCCCTACATATATGCTACTGCATTTACTATGTCATGTAATTGCTAGATATTGAAAAGTGCACATTAATTCTGTCTGTCTTGTTACAGAAAAAGATACATAATTGCAAAAACCACTTATTCCTATATTTATGCATTTATTTTGTATTATATATGTAAAAAGATATACATAAAAAAGTATATTTATGTGTGTAATTTAGTAAAAAGCATAAAGAAACTAACCTCTAAAACATTAGAAATATGTGTGTTGTAAGGAATTAACTGGCTCTCTTCTTTATAAAACCATGAGCATCTTCGAACCTCACATTTTGCTTCACTCCAGTATATAGCAATGCGATGAAGAGTAGATATATCAACGTCAAAACGCCCACCATCTGTAGTAACAATCTTATTTGGTATTTGTTGCAAGAACGCCTCCTCTAGATTTTTTGAATCATAAAATGAAAATGGTATCCAAGATTTATTAAAATAAAACCAGTGTGGAACAACTGGAGAAAAATAAGAAATGCTTCCCGTAGATTCAATCGTTATTGGGTCAGAATTATTTTTGTTTATTGGGTTAGAAGAATTTTGATTAACTATAGGCTTTGTGTCTGAACTTGTCTGCTTCACGCCAAATAGATGACTTGACATACTTTGAGAATCTGTAGTAACCGTTGTTGATGAAAAAGCATTGTTACTGTTAGGTAACTTTGAAGGTGACAAATCAGATAGTAAAGATCCTATATTCAAAAAACAATATTTTATAATAAAGCAACACGTATTATGTTCCACAACAATAACAAAATTAATACAAATTATAAATTTATATGTACATGTACAACATTTTTATCTAAAGGAGGGTCCTTTAAACCCTCCATTAAATAAAAAAACCCACTACTCAGTGTTTTTTATGTGCTGTAGTTATCATTTGGGAATAATTTAAGCCTAACTTAAGTTCAATTATCTAATATTTAGTACATGCTTAAGTACATTTTCTATTAAACTGGTTTCTATTATTATTTTTTAAATGTTCTTTAAAAGTAGGTCCACTTCAAATTAGCAAAATTTTATTTTGCTATAACTTAGTAGCAGGTTGACTTTTATATATATATATATATTTTTTAAGTACTTTATTTTCACATTTGAGTACTAGGTTGACTTATTTTTGTACCAGGTCTTATTTTTGTAAATGTTTTTTTATTTTTAGTACAAAAGCTATAGCTTTTATGCAATAAAATCTAAAAAATTCTTTTCATTGTAAGTAAAAAATTTAATAACAGATTATAACATATTTAAAAAAACGAAAAAAATCAGTTAACACTTTTACTCAATTGTTTGAAATTACTGACTTGAAAGTGTGTGGCTAACAAGTGAAGACAAACACTTTTACAATATGCAGATAGAAACATAAGGAAGAGCAGAGTATTATTCTAATAAAGTAGTTGACCCAACAAAAATTCATCCATCAATGAGAATCAGAAACATCCAAAATGAAAATTCATATATAGAAGATATTAATATTAATACTGATTCTGATACTATCGTTATTGAGACAAGTGGGGATGAATGTTTTGACACACCAATACTCGATATTAACTCCAGAAAAAGGAGGTATTGCACAACTTCATCAGTTTTGAAATTATCAGCAGCAACAAAGTTATCATTAAAAAAAGTAAATTGGATTAGATATAGATACATTTAATCACTTATCAACATCTAAAGCAAATATGAGAGAAGCAAAAAACTTTAAAATGTCATATAAAAAAAAATTTAAAAATGAAAACTGGTGCCTCCATTTTGATGGAAACTATTTTAACTTTAATGAACGCCAAGTAGTGGTTCTGAAAAATGGAACAAAAGAAGAAAAATTAGCTGTTCTTGTTTTAAATGATGATTCTAAAAAAAATTAAAGCAGAAATGATTTTTAATGGATTGGTTGAAATTATTGACTCTTTTGATTTATGGAATTGTATAAAAATGATTACAACAGATACAACTACTGTTAATACTGGTTAAAAAAATGGTACAGTAACTAGACTACAAAAAAAATTTAGTTACCTTGGATTTGATAATCTACAGTATGTTTCATGTCAATATCTTGTTCTGGACAGATTTTTAAAGTTGGTCATTGATTCTGTATGTCCTGAAAAGTCTACCTCACCTAACTTACACTATTCTTTTATTAAATTCATTCTTGAAAATTACAAAAATTTTGTCGAAGCATTTGACAACAGTGGTCCTTCATTGCAAAATTTTAGGATGGAAAGATATGAAATTGCTTTACAATCTATGTAAAACATATCTTTTTTATAAAGAAAATGGATATTTTCCTAAAATTAATTTTTCTAATACATTAACTGTGTCTCTTCACTCTGTAAGATGAAATTCAAGAGCAATTTATGGATTTTTAAGTTATTTTCTTGTTGTCTAGAGAACAACTTGAAGTAGTTTATAATTTTGTTAGTGGTAACTGGTACCAAATATGGTTTGGGAAAGATATTTTTAATGAAAATGATTTTAGTGATCTTGAAAAAGATATCAAGAAAGTTGGTAATTGCCAGAAAGCTCTTACTTGTTTGAAAACGCATTGGACTAAAGTACCATCAATTATTGCAAATATCTACGGCAAAAATATATGTGCTGAAAGAGCAATAAAAGTTGCTTAAGACCTTGATGTATAAACTCTGAGAAACTTAATTTAAAATTTGTTTTGCCTAATATTAAGATGTGAAAAAAAAGAAAATTAATTACAAACTGCAAATACAAATACAATATTGTTTTAATGATTGGAAATATTTTTGTTTTTTATTGGTAAGTGATCTTTTTAAAAAATTAATGTAAATGAATATGATTTTTTGTTATACATAATTGTTGTTATACATAATTGTTCATTAGAAAATAATATAGGACATATGTGTTGTAAAAAAGTCAACACACTAATGCACGCATACTGTTTTAATTTTGATTTATTTCAAGTTTTTTTAGTTTCATGTTCAATTTGTATAAGCAATTTTCCATTTTGTTCCATCTTTACTCCAAAGATAGCCAAATTTTTATATTCTTAACATTTTACACTTTACATTTATGCTAATAATACAAGGCTAACGCACAAGAAAGCCTTATTTTAAAAACCAATAATGAAGAACAAGTTTGGCAACCTCACATTGAATTGGTGATTGTGTAGTTAATAACCAATAAAAAAATGTGTAATTCAATCACTATTAACTTGAAGTAGCTACACCATAACTTGAAGCACAAAAATACATTTTAATGGAAAGCGGTAAATTTGAATAAATGATTGCTGCATATTTGAGAAACCTGATAATCATAAGAGACATAATAACCTTATAATCTTAAGAGACATAATAACCTGATAATCTTAAGAGACATTTCATTTTGTCAAATTTGACAAAATGAAAATTTGACAAATATCTTGATACTGGTTTAGAACTTTTTTTTAATTTAGGACCAAAGTAGATTTTTACTTAAGAAATTCAAAACAGTTTTTTGGGGACTAAATAATCTGAAAGTATACCTTTTTTATTCAATTTCATTCTAAAATACTGATGTAAATAATTGATATTTAAACTAAAATGGAGAATATCAGGTAACAAAGATTATTGAATCCTTCTTTATCAATTGTAGTATAAAAATTGTTCTCGATGGACAGCACTCCTCTTCATATTCTGTAACTTCAGGGGTTCCTCAAGATTCTATCTTGGCCCTATACTTTTTTTAATTTTTATTAACTATTAACAATCTCCCAGAAATTCAAACCTCTAAGGTGGCATCGCTCACACATGATACTACTATTTATTCTCTCTAATTGCTTAGAGTTGCTCTTTATTGTGCTCCCTACTTTTTTACTCTGGATTCTATTTTTTATCTCTATAAATTTTAAATCCGTCTTTGTATGGAATACTGTTGTCATTTCTGGGGTGCATCTTCCAATGATGCCTTTCTCTTTTAGACAAGGTGCAAAAATGAATTGTAAACAGTTAGACCTGCTCTTGCAATTAACCTCCAATCATTGTCACATTGTTGTAATGTTGCTTGTCTTTCTCTTTTCTAAAAATATTATATAGGTGCTGCTCTAAAGAGCTAGCTCCTCTTGTGCCATCTACTAAAATTCATTTTCATGTTACTCTTCATTCAATTAAGCCTTTTACTGTGACTGTTCCTAGGTGCTCTAAAAATTCAAATTTGCCTAGCTTTTTTCTTTAAACATCAGTTCTTTGGAATTCGCTTGCTTCATCTTCAGGCTTGGTCAGGAACGCATGGGATCATATGACTACGCAAACAATACTTTATTTTGACGATTTGCCACGGTTTTTAACATTTAAAAAATGTGCAGAAAATTTTTTTTTTAATTACGTCAAAAATAAATAACTTTGAAACTTTTATCTTTACTAACGTTTTTATATTACCGAACTGCTTACAAGTAAAGTAAGATTTACTGATAATGTTTTAATCTAAAGTATAGATGAAAGTTGTATAAATTTTTGTTTATATTATTTAAATATATATAAGATTATATAATTAACAAATAAAATAATATATAACATTTTTTTGTAATTAATCTTATTTAATTTTTTATTATTTAAATTTTATAAGCGACATCTTAAAACAACGTCTCTTTAATCAACTTTATTTAAAAATTGTTAAAGTTAATACACTCAAAAAGATTTTGTTGAGAAAAAAAGACAAACTTTTAAATTAAAGCTGTTTGAATTAAACTTTGATCTTTACTAATGTTTTTATATTATTAAAACGCTTTTAAATAAACAGTAACAATTCACTTCTAATGATTTTTTTACATTAAAGTATTAATGTATTTTTCTTTCATTTTTAAATTTAAAAAAATTAACAAATTAAATCAAATTATCAATTAAAAGAATAGTTTTGTTCATTATTTTTCGTTTTCATTTTCACTTTTTCTCATTTGCTTTCTGATATAGAATTTCTGACAAAAGAAAAGACTTAATTATTTTTCTTTTGTTTACATTACTACAAAGAATTGTAAAGTTTTTTTTTTGTTGTTATCTTTTAAATGTGCTACTTTATTAAAAAATTGTTAGAAGTTGTTACTTTCTTTAAAAGGGTTTTGCTCAGTCTATATAATAAAGAAAAAACACCTCACCTCTCCCCCCCCCCTCCAAAAAAAAAAAGAAAAAAAGTTGTTATCTTTTAAATGTGCTACTTTATTAAAAAATTGTTAGAAGTTGTTACTTTCTTTAAAAGGGTTTTGCTCAGTCTATATAATAAAGAAAAAACACCTCACCTCTCCCCCCCCCCTCCAAAAAAAAAAAGAAAAAAAGAAAAAAAATGTCATTAAAAATAGTATCCTCGTTAAGTTAAATTGTTTTTTTAAAAAATACCACTAATGCGCGATAAAGTTTTTTATAATAACAAAAGTGTTTATTTACATTTTTTTGTCGATTCATACTATTTATTATTATTTTTTTACTATTAATATAATTTTATAAAGTGCGGTAACAAAGCAGATGGACACTACTAGTTTTATACTATAAAAACATTAGTAAATATTCAAAGTTATTTATTTCAAACATGATTATCTTATTGTTTATTATTTATTTTAGTTAAGTTTTGTTTTTATTTTATTTATTTTTGTTTTAGTTATTTAATACTAAGCTATTTTTATTTTATTTTTTATTATTTTTTTAAGATTTTTTTCTTTTTTTAAGATAAGTTTTTAAGTTAAGTTTTCAGCACTTAATCCAAATGTTAAAACTGCGGTCTTTTAAAGTTAAATTTTCAGCGCTTTATCAAAATGTTAAAACTGTGGTCAAATTGTCAAAACAAAATATTATTTGCGTGGTCATATAAAGCTGTGAAATCAGGTGCCTTCCTGACCAAGCCTGCATCTTGTTTTCATTTAAAAGAAACTTAAAGATCAGTTTGTCTAAATTTTGAAACTAAGAGGTGCATTACAACTAATTCATCAGTTACTTACAATGTAATTGTATTTATATATCACAAAAATATAAAATTTCTGATTGATACAGTTAGATGGAATAAAAATTATAAGGATTTTATGGTTTCCATTGTTTTTTCTTTTGAATATATTAAATATGCTGGGGTGGGAATCAATCGATCATTTATTGTTGACAAGCGTCACAAGTGATATTTTTAAATGCTATATATAGCAAACAATTATTTTGTAAAAATGTTGAGGTTGTTGATAAGTAATAAAAACATTAAAAACAAAATGGCTTTTAAATGTGTTGAACAACAAACTAACCGGGCATGTCTATTATCTCCGCAATATGAAGATGGACAGCCAAAGCGATATATTCGGCAGATGACTACTTTCTTTGTGATAAACAATATTACTTCAGATCGACACATAGCATACTTGCTTGCTACTCTGTCACCAATGATTTACAAGACCATAGATGAACTAACAGCACCTGAAGTTCCAGAAGACACTTCATATGAAGAGTTGGTGGCAAAGCTGGAAACGTTGGAAATAAGAAAATCATAGTTAAGTTTGAGCTTTGATGATTGTGTCAAGACTACATCCATGGTTTTACAAACTAGATTAGATGTGGCATGTTTATCTGTAAATGAAAAAGTAAATGCATGTTACCGAACAACTGGGACTGTAATGACAAGTTATATACGGAGAAAGAAATGCAATTTTTCAACTGTGAATCATTAAATCACTTTGCACATGAATGTACCTCTTTATGCAAGAAATGCTTGCATAACATGCTGTGAAAAACTGCTACAAACTTTGGCAGAACCAGGAAAACTTAAATGGGACGAGTTTGCATTAGGTATTTCTACAAGAACTCATCTCGAAACAATACTACCTACTATCGACTTGGTAATAAACGGAAGAAAAGTTCAGCGCTTGAGGATACTGCTTGCTTCACCAAGAAGTTACTGCCATCATCACCAAGAAGTTACTGCCATCTGACTATAAAGTGATTAGTGTAGTAGATGTTGCAACAATGGGCTGAATAATTCCATGTAAAGTTATTGCTAAAATACACCACCCAACGAATGGGTGCTTGGTAGATGTTTTGGCGTTGTGTGGATGAAGTAATAAACAAATACAACATGGTTATGGGTATGTATCTAATAAAGTCGTGTGATGAACTGAAAAGTAAGTATAATGTATCTAACCAACATCGTGAGGCGTTCAACAACGAAATTGGATCAATTAAGGCATACTTATCAAATATGACGATAAAATTATGGGAGAAGCTAAAGAATGTACTAATGTTGATGTCATTCAAGATAATAAAAAGAAGATGTTTGACTATCACGAACTTAACACCTATGTAAAAGCCTCTATAATGGATGCAGATGTCATCAATGATGTAAGGAGGGATCAGAGACTCATGAGCAAAAATAGCAACGACTTGGTGGTGGATCTAAATAGAGCATACCTACAAATTCTTGTGCATAAACAACATTGGCCTTACCAAACTGTCATTTACAAAGATCAATGATATGCGCTTACACGTTTGGGCTTTGGTTTGAACCTAGCACCTATTATAATGAACTCAATACTACAATATGTTCTCCAATAAAATTCTGCACTGGCAAAATCAACAAGAGGATACATTGATGACACTTTAGCAACCAATGGAAATGGAAAAAAGCTGGTGGCACATATGAAGAAATAGGGTCTTCATGCAAAAAACCAGAATATTTTGGTGAAAACCCAGTTCGTGCACTAGGATTGGAAGTAACAGTAAATCCAACTACAAAGGAAATGTTTTGGAAGAGAGGATGCAAGATTCCCATTATTAAAAATGTGCTCACCAAGAGAAAGATTTTCTCAATATGTGGTAAACTGATTGCTAATCTACCAGTTGCTGGATGGTTTAGACTTGCACGCAGCTTTATAAAGAGATGTACAAACGAAGCAGGTTGGGATGGACCTAATAATGAATAAGTACATTAATGAAATGATGCAGGAAGTCTTGGATAAAGTTATCAAATGCAATCCAGCAAAAGACATGGAATGTGCATCTCTAACTGTATGGTGTGATGCAAGTTTGGTGGCAAAAAAAGTTGTGATAATACAAGGTGACAGAAAAATAGAAGATGGGACATGGCTCCGACCAAAGCCTGATGCAATGCATATCAACGTAGCTGAATTGGATGCACATTTTAAAAGTCTCAAAATGGCATTAAAATGGAACCCATGTGATGTCTCTATCAAAGCTGAATTTCATACTGTATTCAGTTGGTTAAATTCTGACTTGACTCGTGACAAACCTGTAAAATGTGCTGGGCAATGTAAAATGCTAATTCGACGAAGACTTCAAATATTTGGAAAATTGGTCGAGGATTATGCCATAAATGTAAATGTTACATGGGTACCAACAACAAAAAATATCGTAGATGAACTCACACGAGTACCAACAAAATGGATAAAAAACAATTGCAACGCAAGAATGTAATATCATCTACAACCATGATAATCGCCAAATTAAAAAAGTTCATTCAATAGCACACAAGGGAGTTTCCTAGAGTATAAAGTTATGTATGCATGCTGGTATCCACATTAAAAGAGATACAGTAAAACAAGTTGTCGCTGAATGTGATAATGTAATTCAATTGATCCTAATGTGATTTTGTGGGATAAAGAAAATCTTGCTGTCAGCAAAGTGTGGGAAAGAGTAACCTGCAATGTTACTCACGTTGATCCATTGCTATATCTCACCTGTATTGATTGTGGCCTAAGCAGATACACATTGTGGACACCATTAAGTGACGAAAGTGCAATAATGGTTGTTCAAATGTTAGAAAAAATATGTTTATCGCTTGGACCTCCTTCCAAAGTTCTCCTAGATAATTCTAAGTCGTTTAGATCTTAGACTATGCAAGCTATGGCATCAAAGTGGGAAATAAGACTTATTCATGAAGCTGTTGAAAAACCACCGGGAAAAGAAATTGTTGAAAGAATTCATCAAATGGTAAAAAGAACAAATGCCAGAGCAAAATGTGGTATACCCATGTCTGTATCCTTAATAAACAACGTTCCATCAGAACACGACACACCTTTTGAAATTTTTTGCCAACAATACAAACGTGTCCAAATTCCTAGAATTGATAAAATCAAATCAACACAAAAGTCCCTGACTAAGTTTCAAGGATGGAAAGTTGGCGATAAAGTGTGGGTGAAGCCCAAGCATATGAAGTTGTGTACAAAGCGATGGTTAAAAGGAAGCATAGCGGCACTGCATAATGGTTTTTAACAGCTGAAGTTAAAGTCAATGGACATACTTTTCCACAACATTTTTCTCATCTGCAGCATTGTTGTGCAGATAAAAAAGAAGAAGATATAACAACTGATGATGATTACAATCTGACACTGGTTAAACCCCTTGAAACGAACTTAAATCAGGTCGTAATCAAAATTCTCATTTCTCAAATAAATTCCCTGGACGATGGCTAAGCTGACAATAGTATGGACCACGCTGATCAAAACTATACAACAAATTGTGAGATAGAGTTACAGCCTGTTTGGTTCACATGCTATGAGAGAAGAGTACTTCCTAACCGAAAGTATCACTTTGTGTATTTGTGTATCAATTATGTATGAGCTCTTGTTTATTTAATTCTTGTAAATTATTGATGCACATTAAAATCACAACCCAGCTCAACAAGAGCTTTCTTATTTAATAAAAAAAAAATTTCTTACTTAATTAAAAAAAAAAAACACTAACTTAGCTATTAAATATTATTCTATAAAGGTTTATATATTAATGATGCTTCAAATGTGCAGGGTGTTACCCAGCCTGATGGCACCGCGTATAACGTGATATTCCCAATTGGTTTAGAATTCCCAAAGGTTTATAAGATCATAATAAAAAAAATATATATTTTTTTTAATTGCACTTTTCTCGGAATACGTAATTAACGGCTGTAGTATATCAAAAACAAAGAAAAGAAATTCAAATGAAAACTTTAGAAGATTGCTCATAATGAAACAAGTTGATTAATTAAAATTAAACATATATAAATTAGAAAAATAATCCTGCTGTAAACGTAACTCCTAGCAAAAATAGAAAACTTATTTTGATTAAAATTTAATGGCAGAATGTAAGGACCTTTTTTTTATTTTTTATCTTTTAGCCGCACCTAAATTCCCAATTTCGCCAAAACGCTGTATAAAATTTTTCCCTGGGTAACACCCTGATGTGGTTAATAATATTTACCAAAAATGTGTTTGCAACTTACGTTCCCAATAACCACAACTTTTACAATTAAATTTTTTTTCAACAAATAGTTTTTATGTAACTAAAATGAAACAGATGTACATCAAAATATACACATGAATCACACACAAAATAACAAGAAAAACAATGCAGATGTACATCAAAATATTCACATGAATCACACACAAAATAACAAGAAAAATGATGCAGATGTACATCAAAATATGTATCTGAATCAAACAGTTTAATTCTATGTTTTTACAAACAACTTAATTCTTGAACTTAGAAATTATTAAAATAAACTTAACTTACATATAAAATATGAAACAATTTATCTAATAAAAACTCTCATACACTAAAATAACTCCTCATACACTAAAATATTGCCATCAAAATTAATACAAAAAATTAACCTGATGTGTCTGGCAATAAAGATGAAGATACAATTGGATGCTTTAATGAAGATGACATTTGTACTCCAGGTGGAGGTATTATAGTTTGTGGCTTTATAAGTGCTGATGGTCTAGGTCCAGATGGAGATAATGATTGAAGTCCTGATGGGTGGGTTAATGTACTTAAACCAGAAGAATGAAGATGCTGTGATGTTTGTACTTGAGAATTTAAAAGTGCTGATATATCCAATCCTGGTGGTGGTGCAGCAGTTTCAAGTATATGTGGTGTTGATATTGGTGATTGAAAGGCTATAATTTAAAAAAACTTTTTATATATTTAATATTTAATAAAGTTCAAGTTTATAATTAGCTTTTTAAATTAATAAATCTTATATTTATATACAAAATCATTTTACTCTAACATTACATTATAACATAAATATCAACTTTCTATTTTAGTTTAAAGCAAAAATGCAAAATTCAAGCCTAGTGTTCTAAAGTGTTTTAACTAAACCATGAAGGACCAAACATAACAAATTTTGAAAATCTTACATTGAAAATATTATTTAATATTTTCAATGTAAGATTTTCAAAATTTGTTATGTTTTGTATTATGGTAAATTAGTTAGTAATTGTTAGCAGGTCAAACTAAACCTGGAATAATATACTGATAGTCAATTTTAACTAAACTAAGTATTTTTAAAAGAGTTTTAACTTTTTAACTTTACTTTAAGCATATAATTGTACTTCAAACTTTATTTGAAGAAATAAATTGTACTACGAAACTTTAATTTAAGCATACAATTGTATTTTGAAATAGAACTATACTTAACTTGTTTCTTAATGATGAACACATTAAGA